CTAGTAAGATGCACTAGATAGATATAAATACAGGTAGAACAAGAACGAGCAGACGGAGTAAATCTACACTTAGTTATTGCAGCGTTTGTTTGTGATTGAAAAGTTTGAATGCAAACATCCTGGAGTAACTGTATAAAATCACAGAGACTTTTCTGCTTTAAATGTATGGTGAAATGTTAGCTTGAACAGATTCTGATATAAAATATTGCTGATGTTGATAGCATCCACTCCCTTTTTGTAAACTCAACTTTCATAAAATGGCGAGTCGTTGGAGGATCGCGGCTAAAAGTGTGATAAAAGTGAAATAGAATAGACAGTAACAACGTTTTCATGTGATGAGGTATTTACTAATAAGAATGTTTCTCTTATAAATGACAATAAAGCGAATTTCTTATACTTGGATCATAAATTGTTGCTTTCCTGATAATTTTATTCGTTCCCAAAATGATGTAATTTTTTTTTTCGAAAAGATCAAATGATTCACAGTGTACTGTCGGGAAGTTATATATCGTAAAGGAGTCCGCTTTCAAAAAGATCTGTTTAATAAGTAATCGGACAGTTTAACTGTGCCCACAACCTTCAGCGACTATCAATCATCCACTTGGTGTTGCTAACCGGGCGAACCAGTGCATCATCGAATGTGTTCCTCTTATTATTGCGGGAATGACAAGAGGTCTTATGAGAAGCTCTTATAAGCACAAAAACACCGATACAGTTTTTAAAAGCTTTTATTTAGCTTATGTTAGATTGCCTCACGCAGGATTCGGATACAGGTCCAACAACAAACAAGGGAGATAATAAAATCGAATACTTGAGCAAAATCATATCTAGGTATAAATTAAGATTTCAAGAAAAAAAAATGGTTTAGACAATGAAATATGTTTTTTTTGGAAACTACATTTCCAGGATGAAAAAATCTTAACACAAAATATTGTGTAAATAACCATATTTGTGTGTAATGGCTTCTATAAAACTTGATCCTATCTCCATCAATCGTGACCTTCACCTTAATTAATACTCGTATTAAAATATAAATAATACTTTACTTTTAGTAATATTAGTTAAGTGGAATACTCAATACTACCGTTAAGTTATGTTCTCTTCACAGGTTTCATTTTCTACAACAAATTATAAGTACGTATAATTATTGCATCACCAAATCTAAATTTAAACGCATATCAGTCTCGCTTCCACTCCTTCATCTCGACCAGGACCAGAAAAAATTTAATTCTTTTAGGTTTAAATGATATGAAAATCAAATTAAAAGTTTAACGTGAGAACTAATGCAAATTTCTTAAAATTAATAACAAATAAATAAAGTTCAAAGGAACAATACATTCTAAATTATCTACATAACGTATTAAGAAAATTATAAACAATAAAGAATCAATATGTTCACAGTATATTTGTACATGAATATTTAACAGTAATTCAGCATATATATCACAGATACCACTAAAAAAATCCACCTTTCAAATGGATTGTTTTATACTATATTGAAACTACTGTGTATTTTAGTTTGCTCCTTATTTGTATTTTTTATCAAAAAGATAATTCTACGTTTACACGATTTTGTTGACGGATGAAGGATGACCTCGATATACTCGATATGTCATTACACATGTTGACTCTTCATTCTTGGACGTGTAAATTCGTGACAATCAAAATAGTAATAAATATTATTATTTTATTAGTACAGTGACTATATGAATACACTATAAATATTATGACAAGAGTTACTCCAACATACAATAACATTGCTTGCCTCGTCCGAAAGAAACAAAACTTTCATATGAATTTATCTTCTTTTGATATTACACTGTGGTAATTACTATTTAGGACATTTTGGTTTAACTGAAAGTAAAACAAATTATATCGTAATAAACGAAGATTAGTAAATGTCGCGGCTTAAAGTAGTATAAAGATGAAATATCTAAACAATATTCAGCAAAGCACTTCACGAAAACTTTAGGAATTACAATCTTAGATTTTTGTATAAAAGCAGCGTAGAAGAAATGATACTTATAGAAACTGTCATATGTTCATTAATAATGTGGTACGTTTCGCACCCAATAAGTAAGTAAAACATATTTAAGAAATGAATACAGTCTGTCCCCCTATGACAAGGTAGGAGAACTATTTGGTAATAAAGTGTTACAGTACAGAATATCTGTTTTTCGTTATATCACGAAGAAATAATATTTAAGCAATTCACTTAGAACAAAATAAGAGATCTAAACGGTGACATGTTGATTTGTTATAGTGAAATGCAAAAACGCAGCTGTGTCAAATACCGAGGCAAATATCATCAGGCATTTAAACAGATCAGTCGAGAAAGTAATTCAGGACTAGCTACCACAAACATGTATCGTGAAATGTTGGGAAACATAAAACATAAAAATTCTATTTTAGTCTGCGATAAAAATGTCTGCAATATCTTTAATGATAAAAACAGTTCGCTGACTGACGGATTGTCTTTTATTTTTACAATGCTGACATCATTAGTAACTAACTACCACATATAAAAAGATGTTTCATAATACAGTAAACATAAAATATCATTTCTGTCCTATTTTATAACAAATTATCTGGGGGAAAAAATTAATATCTTAACCATTATGTTCGTTTCACCTCAGGGCTTGATTAAATTAGATTTGTCCAAGCGCTTGCAAAGTAATCGTTGTATTTCGATAGTTGTCATCAGTAATTGAATTGAAATAATACATTATTTGTCGTTTACATTAATGTGAAGCATGTTATGCCGTAAGCTGTAACCGTCTGACCTTCTGTTGATCCGAGCTGACAGATGTCAGTAATTATACATCTGAGGTTAGAGCCTTGTCAATGGTAAGGCACTAAAGTCTCGCTTCAAAACGCTTCAGTCAACAATCGTAGGATTTTTTTTTTTTTTTAAGAACATATCCCCACTGCACCAGTGTAATATTATCTGTTTGATAATGAAATTGACATACTCGTATTTGTGACAATACAATGAAATTGATTAGTAAAGATGACTGTGCTTTCAAATCTTAGATTAGACCATCGCTATAATGAAGACCTTTCGTCTCATATACTCAACGGAAAAAACAGATAATCCAGTTGTGGGAAAGAAATGGTTCGCTGTACAGCTCGTCAGTGAAACGAATGCTAATACATCCCCATTTGCTGCTGACAGCGAGACAGGTATTTTGGTTTTCAATAAAGCTGTCACTTATTGAGAGAAGTAGCAGTTACAACGCATGAGAAATCCAATTTCAATATGTCGAAGAATGGTAGCTTTAGGATGTTGTCTACGAAATAAGATCAGCGATAAATGTCAAGAGAATTCAGACATGTTAACGCTGCGTTGCGTGTCTGTCATTTATTTACGTATTACTTTCAAATATATTGGCGTTACGTTTGGACAATATCTTTTATTCACAATAGGTAATGTTTTCACAGAAAAAAAAATATATTCATTTTTGAGTTGGCCATGCATATAATCGGCGGTTGATACTGTTAGACATACACCACTTTACAGTGCGATGATCTGCCGGTTATGGAAAATTCTTTCTGTTTTTAAATCAGTCTGGTCTTCAATATGCTGCCCTTGACCGTTGCAAATATGGCGTAATGATAATCCATTTTATTTCTCCTGCACGTGAAAAAAAAACAAACACTTGCGCATCGTAAACATATTTCCGATAAACTTAACAAAAATGTTGTCTTATCGCAGCATGTGCTTGGAACGTTCTTATACAAATATGTGTGCGGGTTTCTCCCATAATTCGTTACAGCCTATATCATAAACAGAAATAAAAACTCTGGTATTTACAATTTGTGATACAACATATTATTTCCGCGATATTCACTACAAAGATAAATGAAGATTTTTTTTCACTTAAATACTGCGTTTACTTCTATAGATTTATCCATCCCTTCATTTTTTCTAAGATTTAGAGACTGTTTCAATCTTAATTGAAAATATCTTTTATAACATTTGAGTATTAGGCAAGACCTGCATGATATCACAGACATGTATCTGAAAGTTTCCAGATTCAGAAATTTTCAAGGAACTGCTCCGTATTTGTCAGCAGCATATAAGGCAGCATGAAAAATCAATACCCTGATTTTGACAAGGATGAACGGAATACCACTTTCACGAATAAGACCAAAAACAATAATACTTAAATATCACTTGAATTATATTCAATAAAATGTACAACCATTAACCAGTAAAAACAGTATTAAAGCTTATTATGTTACAATACTAAACTGATATGTAATGTCAAAAGATCATGTTGTCAATAGAGGACAGTGAATGCTTCTTGAAAACAGCTGTTTCCATATGTTTCACAAAAATACATTTGGTGAGAACATAACATTCGACAATTAGGCGCCACAGACAATTGTTGCTTGGATGTTTTATCATCACTTGCGCAAATAGCACATGCAGTAGCTGTAGCGTGTTTATGACAGATAAAATACCCTACAAAGCGACAGTAAAATATCCTGAACAATTTATCTATACACACACATATATATGTATATATACTCCAACTATGTTTCATCGATCAAACTTAATTCAATACATCATTAACACATATATTTTACTATATCATATTACATTGTTAAAAAGAAGGGTCGGTGATGCTAAATTAAATATTTTATAGACCGCCGTCATATACAGAGATGCTTTAATATTTCTTGCATTTGTAGACATTGTAAAATCGATATCAGGGATTTACTTCAAATTCATAATTTCAATAAATCCTACTACAGACAACACATCACCACCAAACAAATAATATTGATGACATGTTTTCACAATTGTAAAACTCCGTCTGCTGGGAACATGATGCAACAACAGTAAGAAGCCTAACAAGAGCTTCACTAATTTGGACATCATTTATCTTTCAAGTCTCCAAATGACACAAACCTGAGAGGAAACTACGTCAATAACGGCTTCATTGAGATTCTACTCATGTTGTAGAAATGGTCGCGACCTCCCGTTTCTACGGTTACGAAGCAGGAAAGAAGATAGAAAACACGACGTAAGCAGGTTTGTCCAATTTTTCAAGTTTAATTACCTGGAAGAAACGAGAAAGCATATAAGTACAGTGGTAGATCGAAGTTAAACCTATTCTCAACAGATTCGATGCAATTTTTAATTGGTTAGGAAGATCAAGATATGCAAGCTTTATCATAAAAATCCCATTTCCATTTTAACCTGTTGTAAAAACGACGCAAGTTGTTTTTTCCCTGCTATCATTGATTTTTGCCACAGTATGAAGTTCATGAATTTGTTTTGAATCAATCAAGATTATTGTGAAGGTGTAAGGATTTATCTATTGTTAGATATTAAACTAACAAAGTCACCAACACTAAAACATTGTGAAATTGCCAGTGTCACATGACAAATTGATAGTTTACTTTCTCATGAAAAGGCAAAAAGATATATCACGACAAGCTTGAATGTTCCGTTTGTTACGTACATGTTGATCTCCATAGCATTATTGAACAGGAAGAATCTGTTGTGCCTTAATGATGGAGATTAATCTAAACAAGTCTGGTAAATATATATGTCTGGTCTGCATATGTCTGGCTATCATTAAGCTAGATCTCATTACGATGTATATGTGAACCTGATAGAAAATCAGAGAGTACGGTTTTACATGTTAAGATGCAGGGACTTCCATTACAAATTGGAAAGCACAATTTCATTTAGCGTCTGGAAATGTGTTGAGTATATAAGCAATCTCGGGGTTTTATCAAGCAAACATATTTTTGAAAACAGATACTGTACTCAGTATATAATACGTCATCGTTGACATATGGATTCAAAGAAGCCAAACTTGCTTCGTCAAATTGTTCACGTATCTGTAAATTTAAAATCATGACAAGATGTGTTACTGTCACCGACCTATGCAAGTACAATTTGATTAATACTGCAGATTCAATTTTAAGCGGAAAAAAGTAATTAGACACAGACTGGCAAAATATTAAGCAGAGACAGACGTCTTCGCTACTTAATTAGCAAATAGCATTCTATATTGAAACCATCGCTCTTTACAAGAAATCCGTTTTGTTATGTCATATAATGCAGTTAAATACTTGCTAATTTGAAACTTTTTGGTACTACAGAGAGGATGAGTCTAATGAATGTAGTTTTTGTATCTAGTATTTAAAAACAGCATAAAATAATTCTATATTTGAACGTCTAAGGTTTAGTTTGCTTCAAGAAAACTCATTCATCAAAGGTAAAAATAAATTCGTTTGATAGTGCTATTTACTGAAAGGCCAAGAAGCAGAATGTGCTGGAAAGGTTTGAAACATGGAACTCATACAGTAGGTAACCACATTCTTTTCCTCGAATTCCTAAGTGCTTCTTAAGGGGACTTTACAATTGTTGTATAGACAGTCCACGTTTCTGTTTGCCAAGTATGCACATCAACCTACGCTCCTTACAATAGCAATCTTGGATAACAGCAACTTTGATCGACTATTTCGTATTATGAGGATCACACAGAATCCAGTTATGTTGAATTTTTAGGTAATGTCTCGAACACCCGTCAAGATATATGATATTTTGGTAAGATACTATCCATCATTACGATGATGTGTCCGTTTAAATAGATACATGGTATTTTGCAATGCCTAGATTTTTGTTACGTTCAACCATTCATATATCTACTGTCCTGTCTATATCGAAAAAGAAAAAGATGTCTCACAAAGGCGTCAATGGAGCCGAGAAAATACGCAGTTAAATCTCAAACACAAAATTCTTGTTCTTCCATAACTTGACAGAATTCTTCTCTTTTCTTTCAGGTCGTATTTGCCGTTGTGCTATCTTTATTGTAATCACGTTTGCCTTCATACCTCGCCGTCATTATTTATCTACTTACACGATGACGGGTTCAATATTGCTACACTTACATTTACGATGTGACTAAACTTGCCAAGACAAGATGTTATTTTTTCATCTGATCATCAAATGAATATGTCGATGGTAGTTAAAAATGAACAGCCTTATCTTAGTGTCACGTCAAGACATGTGGTTCTGTGAACACAAGGAATCTAGATGCTGTCATAAAATTTGACACATTGCAAAAACGATAAAATCTGGCGACGAGAAAGGAAATAACTAAACATTGCTTCTCTGATTTTACATCAACTTTTTTTGTCCTTCTGCGACATTTTTTCACAAAACTGGCATTGTTCACAATGTGCAAAGTCCAAAATCAGGGACAATTAGAAACAGTAAAGGTGAATGTGTCTGACCAGGGTCATGCCAGCCCTCTATTATTCCATCATTTCAATATGAAATATATACAACATTCTATAACCACTTTTTAAGCTGAAAAAATCATTAATCCGATATATGATTTAAAATGCAAAAAAAATACTCTTCTATTATATATTTAGGTCTTTCAATACTTCTTTCGATAACATTTAAAAGTAATTTCAATGAAACTATCACTCATTACTTACTTTGACCTGATTAACTGATGACTCATCAGCGTGTATCATTCTTTCATACAACGAATATTTTTATTGTTATTACAGTTGAAAATTAATTATGACAACGGTAGTGTCAGGCAGATGTTCAACAACACAATATTAATATTAATACAGAGATGATCCAGTATTTCAGAATGGCAATGTTGCAGCTCTTATTGTAATGATAACGCTTTATGTAATGACTATTACATTAAGCGTTGTTTTTACATAAGTGTTGCAACATGGCAGTATACGACAGAAGTTGTGTTTCACCGATAATTGAATCAGCTTACTTCAATTAAAGTCTTTAGCATAATGGAAATTCTAAGCAATATTGTCCACATTATCCACATTGCCCATGGGTAACTAATTACAATTTACTCATGTTTAACTAAATCATATATTTGCAACAGATAGTAACACAATAATCATATACTAAACAAAAAAAGAAAGGTAACACTACTTTATTCTGTAATTAATTAATTAACCCCTTCATAAATCCTTACAAATCATGTACGAATAAAGCAATTGATCAATTCTGATAAAACTGCAGTCATGGTTCATTATAAAACTTTGCGTTCAGTTGATTTTATTCGACTGCAAAGGACGTTGAGGTCAATTTCAAAGGTAACACCATTAGTAACGGTGATGGCCACCGTTTGCGAAGTAAACAGCATTACAGCGTCGTCGCATGGAACTCGTAAACCGGCGGATAATTCGAGGAGAGATGTTCGTTTGAGCGATCAAGGCTTGGGCCAGCTCCTGCAAGTTTGACGACTGATTTTGACGTTCTCTCACGCGTCACCCAAGAACGTCCCAGACATGCTCAATCGGTGACAAATCAGGTGATTTAGATGGCCAATCTAACACCTGTACGTTATTCTGCTGCAAGAAAGTTCTGCTGACGCTAATGGTGTGCGCGAGTGCGTTATCCTGTTGAAAAATGGCGCCAACGCCGTGGCGCCTTAAGAATGGCAGAACCACTGGTCTTAAAATTTCGTCCCGATATCGAATGCCGGTTAAATTGCCATTTAACATAACAAGCCTGGTACGAATCCCCCCACAAATACCACCCCACACCATTACACTTCCGCCGCCAAAGCGGTCCCGTTCTGCGACGCAGCAGTTCGCAAAACGCTCCACACTCTGCGCCTACCGTCACCGTGTTGCAGACAAAACCTGGACTCATCTGAAAACAGAACATTGTAGTCTCTACTGCGGTTACGAATCGATTGCGCAAGTGTATCAATCGTATACGACGGTCATCCCTGGCGGTCGTTTTACGGGGTCGGCCGCTTCGGGGACGATTGGATGTTGACCCAGTTTGGTTTAAACGACTTACCAACTGGCAAATTGTCTTAACACTGCAACCAAAATGCCGTGCAACTCGACGGCGAGACTCCCCAATCTGGATCATGCCTACAGTCCTTTCTCTCTGTACTTGTGACAGATAGCAAGATTCGGTGATTTCTAAGTCCTAAGGATCTACGGAACAGTTGTCAGTTTGAATGTTTATGAAATTCAAGCGAAGATACAAGTTAGTCGCAGAAAACCTCGTGCAGCTCTTTCGCTAATACAGACTTTCACGCTTGAATGATTTTGGTAACCCCCTTGGATATTGTAATGTAAAACATTACCATTTTCTAATATTGCACAAACGTCATTTTGTTTTCACTCATTTACAGGTATTCGCCAAGGAAACATGTTAACCTTTCTTGTTTTGTTGAGTATATGTATTGTTTCCTGTGTATCTAGAAATCACCTGAGCTACAGGCTTTTTCAAAGTAGATAGCCAATATCATGACAAAACACATGACAAAAGTGTTACGAAATTCGGCTATCTGCTTCACAAGCGTTGCAATTTGTATCGCTATTGGAACAATTCTCATGGAAAATAGCGCATTTCATAAATTTACCATATCTTTTTAGTTTCCGAAAGATTAAAATGCAGACACGTGTTTGAAAACTTCTAAAAATATCTACTTATTAACAATTAGTTTTGCGTCTTACAAATTTTTTTAACTTACTTCACTTCTACTGGTCTTTTCGCCAAGACCAAATTTCTGAGTGACTATTCCAGTAGTTTTCAAGTTGTGATCACCGCTGTCCATTTGCTGGACTGTAATACAATACCGCACTTCCCGATCAGCACGCATGGAGAAAGTGTGTCGCTCACATTGTCGGAAACTCAATATAGGATCACCCGGCCGAAGGCGCTGGCAAATAAAGTTGATCAAATTGAAAACACAAGAATAATTCTGAATGTTTCGGCAAAGGAATCTCCAATGTGTTACCTGATATATGTTCCTATTTTAGTTATGATGTGAACCAATCAAATGAAAGCAAACGTTCAGACAGAGAACGTAGTTGATTCTCAGAAAAAGGATTTCAAATGCTACATAAGGTTTCATTTTCAAAAGTTAACTCGTTCTGTATTTCTTCATGGTAGGAACAAAACATGATGGATCCTTTAGAAGTATAGCACTGACAGGTCTAAAATCAGCTTGTGATCAGAGTGGGTACAAACCTACAGAGGCAGCTTCACTACTGAGTATTCATAAAAAGACATGCAATGAGAGGTGACATATTGAATAAAAGTTAATGATTTTTCATGTTCATTCTACAAGCATACGTCTTCACTGGACACAAGACAATGAAAGAAACAACCTAGCGACATTAAAGAGCAGTATGCAATGTGTCAAATAAGTTTAAGTTCTTCTTCTGTAATAAAATCTTTCTTGAAAAAAATAGACATAAACCAGTGCAATTGATTTAGCAAATCAAGAATGTACTTTAGATTACCAATGGACCAAATGAAATGTGATTTAAAAGCTATGGTCTTGGAAGGATGACAACGGGTTCTTTTTGGAAACATGTGAGAACTACACTGTGGTAAATGCGCACTGCACTGCGCATAAAATGTCTTTCATTGAAGATTTGATAGAATCTTAGGACTTAGTGCTTCAACCTGATTTCAACAGATGTATTATATTACAATAAGTGTAATTAACTTTCATTCTGTAAATTTCGAGCACCGCTCAAATTCGACATTTTTTTGTCTCTTAACTGCATTAGACTACCTTGTACACCTGAGTAATATTCGAAGCAAATATATATAAAGATTTAGTATAGAAAATCAACAGCGGACATCGATAGTGACAACTCTGAATGTACTTGTAATGTGTAACTCAATCTATATCATATGAAAAAATTGGATAATGCTACTGAAGTTCCCGATAAAAAAGAAATCAATGACAAACAAAGAACGTAACAGAACTGCACCTGCATAAAAACAGCAATCTGGTCTTTGTTGTTTCTGACAGCTTTCAGCTCGAAGTGAAATCCATGAAGCGAAAACACTTCAGAATGGTAGTGTGGCTCCTGTAATAATAGAATATAATAGAATACCGCATTGCCAGTGAGAACATCTTGTCATTATATTACCACTGTGACATCAACTAAGAGAATATCAATATATTTTCTAAATTTTGTCAAAAAAATCTCACACGGTCCAATGAAAAACAAGTTAGTTTATATCAATATTGTTATACATGTGTCAGCAAATTATAATAAAATTTAAAGAGGACAAAGTATGAATATGTTCAACAAATTGAAGTTCCATATACAACAATTATTTAATTTGAGTCAAATGTAATTATTCCTAGAATACATATCGAGAAATGATAAAAGTAGGACACTCTTTTTTTATTATCAGCTCGTTTTCAATTGCAAACCAATATTTTATGTTGAAGTTGGATAAAATAATTTCGCATCAACATTAAACAAGGAGCATTAAACTAATCAAGGTAACTATGCTTTCATATGTTGAAATCAGAAATTGAAGATGAATGAACACGTCCTTTTCATTTTAAACAGAACGACTTTGTGAAGGGAATGCTTACTCATCACATTAAAATAGAGACTTACAATTCACTGTTCTGTTTCAATTATCTACTGTGCGGTTGTATAATCCAATACCACGATTCCTTCCGTATCGTATTTGCGACTTACAATGTGTAGAAAGGCGTTACATAGTGCCATGTCGTGTTTCATATTTCTTGTGTTAATTATCGAAAAAAAAGCATAATTCACGGCTGTTCATGTGTACAATCTTTTCGAGGTTCTCAACATAGTAATGTATCAGAGTTGTCCCTGCCACCTCCAATATATTGTAAGATGTGCACAAAAGACATAATTGTATTTTTCTCTCTTCTAAGGAATAATGATAGTATTAGGTGATAATACTAGTAATTAAATGTACAAGAATACATTAGTCAGCTTCAGAAGACGAATGTCGCCGATTGCATACAACAAAATGATACATTATGACAAAATCGTGTAACAGAATTCTCCCTAGACGGTTAACAACTGTTAAAATAATTTATCACAGTTTATTACCAGTATGTTTTTCTTGTGTGAGATTTTATCCATCATCGTCTATATGTGGTAGCATGATTGAGAACATGGAAACCGTTTTTCTGGATAATTTAACAGGTGATATTAAAGCTTTGTACATAGCTCCTTGACGCTTGTATGTATACATGCACGACCGCGCTTAAAATCTGAAGGAGTGAATTAAGCGTTACATGTGCGAAGAAACAAACATTTTAGCTCGTATTTTACTTAAAGAGACTGAAATGGTCAATTAAAGGCATACAAGTATCTTCGTTAGCTGTTAAAAGCTAGTTGGGAGTTTGTTTAATCTTAAGTATCTGCCACGTCTGTATAGCTGCGTGGTACAAATTCATAACAAACACGTTTCGAACAACAAAAGGCCATTACAATGCATTAGGCATCTTTATCTTGAATCACATTTTTCTACTTATGACAAACCAATATACAACAGGAAAACTAAAGGTTCTGCATAGAATTGATCATGACTTCCAACGTGAAGATTAAAAAAACCTTTAGTACCATCACGAGATAACAGTACACATATAGGTGAAGTATCCAAACACACTTCCGGAATATCATTACAGATATTTCAGATGATACAATTTAATATCACGTACATATAAGGACTAATTTCAATAACGCATGTATTTCGATACTTCTGTACCGTTTTCAATATGACTATTAGCTTCGCCATTAAACGTTTGAAATTCAACTTTTAGATATGAACACATACACTCTGTAATGTACACCGCATTTCAAAATCTTTCATTTATTTCAAAGACTATAATTTTTGTTACAAATTCCCTTTTCCATATCGTAAAGCTAACAATATTTGCAGCTACGTTTCGACCAGATATAAAATGCCGTTCAAATGTGTTATGCCAATAACAGCCGATAACAAAAACTTATGTATTCACTGTAGCAGAACACATTTATTCAAGCAAACATATATCTGTTACATAAAAGCAATTTTCTAATACGCTGTGTTAAGATTGTTTGCAATATTTGCGATGGATGTATCAACCACTAGGTTCTATGTACTTTTAACACGACAGCCATGCTTTTTTTCCCCGAGGAGTATGAATATAAATCATCCAAGACCAGAATTGCATAGAGTTTTATTTTGCCAACTAATTGTAAACAATAGTTTAAAGTCATTCATCTTTATTGCATGAACCAACTGTTCAGATTCGTGTTTTATTCAATACAAATGCTGTCTGGTATTGATTTATCATTCTCCATGTATGAGTAAATAGGATTAAATAAGAATAAATGAAAACATTTTATATTTACTGTTCTTTCTGACCATACGTATCAGCACGAGAAACAAAAACTGTTCTAGAAGGTCATACTTACATCATCTACAACAAATCCTTGTCTGATGGCACCCGTGGTGAAATGTCGGAGAGCAGCCATGTCTCCCCCACCTTGGAGCTGTAAAAATCAAACAGTTATTGTATGAGTGGAAAGGACAGAATGATCATTTTTCAATAGTTTGATCCTGGTTGAAAACAAGAAAATTTGATTAACCCGTTTCATTTTTATTTTCTCTATGCTGTCTCACAACACTGCCGCTGTTGGTTAGGGCTTTGCTTTTACTGACTGGTAGATGTTTGAGAATTTCTCAAAACAAAAAGACACCATCAAAAACTATTAAAAGATATTTGTGCTTTAGGTACATTTAGTGTCAATTTTATTTTTCAAATGACTTATTTGATTGGTCAATTTTAATTTACTGACCAATTAATTTTGTCATTCGAAAAGTTCATATTTCGGTAATACTAACAACAATGACTGCTGGTTTGATTACAATGTGGTACTACACGAAAAGAAGTTTTATTCCGGAGACTGGACGCTTGATATGCGAGTTTGTATACGTATATATGTAATCGGAAAATATCACCTGTAAGTGAATTTAAAAAATGACAACGGCGTTTTCTCATGATACCAGCCTTATTTGACCGGGATTTTAGCGGACTGACTTAGTTACATTGGGGAAAATATCACCCTTGTTTCGCATTCACAATGAGCGGAAGATATGTCAATTAAGTCTGTTGTATTTCCAACTGTGGTTTTCTTGTATGTAATTTGTGATCCTTTTGTTACCAACGATGTAAAAAGAAAACAGTATTTGGCCGAGTACCGGCGACTTTTCTGAGGGCGATGAATTTCTCTCTGGTATTTCGCTGGTTCTCTTAATTAGTTATAGAACACCATACAAGCCCTCATCCCCTAGAACGTTGTGAGAGAAGAACTGAAGTGACAAAATATCACTTTCTTTTTTATATGAAAATAGAACACTACTTTTCATACATTCATTAACTTTGGGTTCCAAATAAGACACAACCAGCAAGAAGCATCTTTCATAAAAATTTAGAATTAGATACATTATAGCCAAATAGTTAAGCAAACTGCGTAACACTACTGTTTCGTCCCTCTGGGACTTGTCTTTGAGACTAGGGGCCTTAGTTGTTGAAACCTATCAGGCGTCTGAAAAAAAAGAAATCAAAATTAGTCGACACGAACGTTAAATTCTGGATTGTACGGATTTTTACGTAAATTTTCGAAGTAGTCATGAGTTTAAATAAAAATTGTGTATCAGCGTCGAAAGTGTTCACGTATGCAAAAGAAAGGGTCAAAAGCAGTTTATGAATATCATCTTGATTCAGAAGACACAAAATTACATCATATTATTTCATTATCGAGTTAATGGGAATTACGTGATTTTAATTCAATCCCCAAGGGTACAAAATACTATAAATGTATTCGATTGCTTAAATTTTCTCATGGAAGTCATGACTGTGACTTTCACATATAATGTATGAGTAAATCCTGATGTCATTCCTCATTGTGACTGCACATGTATTGTTGAACAGAACAAGAGATGCCAGCATGGATCTTGGCACCAACCATCGTTTGATCTTTATTCGTTCTTTAAAATTTTGATATTTTCCTTCTTTTTTTCTTCTGTTTTGGCCTTTAATAACATGAAATTGAAATTTGAACACTCCCCTTAATAGCGTTAACAATCTGATGTTAAAGTCAAAATTGTCGCCTATCTGCCCTTTTCTGGTCAGTCCCAAAATACCGTTTAAAGATTTTTTTTCTGGATTTATTTCATTCCCAACAGAAGCGAAATGTCAAAAGCCACATTTACTCTTCCGGAATGCTTGGTCATATTTTCCTTATACTTTTTCCCTCGTAACTTTTTTGTGGAGTCTTCAAGTAAATCTTTCTTTTGTTCAATATTGCCATTGTTTATCGAATTTGAGTTTGGATTAGGATTCAATTGACATGTTTGCATTTTCTTTGTTGTTATACGCATATGCAAAACTGTTTCCTGAGCTTTACACATCGTATACAGATGTTCATAAAACAATGTTTAAAGATATTAACGTGTTGGTTGTGATCACGAAATAAATGCATACATCTTCATCTTCCCTTGTAAAGTCAATGAAAGTGAGAATTTGAGGGATGGATTTACACTGATGTTAGCTGTTAATTTCAGCACCTATTATAACAGACGTTTCCTTCAGTGTAATTGTGAGCGACGTTCAAATTCCGTGCAGGATGATCACACTTTAAACCTACTTTAAATCGATTTCAATTTTTAAAATCACCAATAAAAAACATTGTTTCAGCTGAAGGTAAATCGTTCTTATTTTGCAAATACATATCGGTACGGTTTGCTATATAAGTAGTCACATAGACTAAAATTAATGCAAAAAGGAAAAGATACTGTCATACAACAAAGTGAAGAAGAAACTAATGGTTCTTGAAGGGTGTATCTGTCTTAATAACATCATGCCTTCTTCTTATTTGGTAGATGTTACTCGTATCAACCTCCACTCACACGGAGAACGCCTACTAAGAAAATATGGGAGCTTTCGACAGGCCTTGGAGTGGGAAATTATTTTCAGCAGATTGTATTTGATTTAAGGCTAACTGCAGTAACAAGAAAATACTGAAATGATAATATAGATATGATGCTACAACAAAAAAATGGATTTTAAAAAATCATGAAAAAATATGAGAATTAGTATAAGGAGAATAAGGCTATGTGTTTTGAAAGATTATGTGTAAATGTGCACTGTTTCAACGGCGACTACATATACAGCTAATGATCATCATTGGCAATGGTACTGCAAAGACAACTGTGATCTTATCTTGTACGATAGTTCAGATGGTATTCAGCAGTGCATTTAATGCATTTCCTTTGCATAATTTGCAGTCAAGATAAACAGTAGAAAATTTATCAACCGCACAAAATACTACATTACACGTATATCGTCCTATTTCATTTTTTAACCCAACTATTTCTATATGACATCTCCTGTGCCATAAAGGAGATTGTCTTGTTGTTTTGCTGCTTCCCTCGTCACTCATCTATGGTGAACAAGAAAGTCAGCAAACAAATACCCATATTTAAACCATAACACGGCTACACAGCAAGCCACTGAATGCTATTGCAGTATTTAAATGATAGTGCAATTCATTTTACTGCATCGTCCCATTATCTATAAGGAAGACTTCAACCGCAATAAAAAGGCACTTTAAGAAGGTTGGAATAACAATAGCATCATACCATCAAATTAGATTATGAACTATGAACTTAAAATTATATGGCTTCAAGAGAACTACTGAATTTGTAATGTAGGTCAGTTTCAACCCATTTGTAATAACTAGGATCGAGATTAAAGATTACTGCACATTAATAGAGAAGTACTGTATTTACCTTTTAGAATCAATGCCTGTATAATAAAATTATTTTTCATGACGAAATTCTGGTCACTAGTTTGTGATGTTTATACTAATATGAAAAGTGGCATGGTTCAGATCTCTAAGGAGACGTAAAAGGACGAAATAGGTGCATGACGCAGTTTAATTCATCGCTTGATATGCAGTGTATCCATTCTACTTTAATTAAAAGGTGCTATTGACTTGTTTGCCTTTTTTACAATCTTTGTACTGAAAGCCAATGAAAGGTGCAATTCACTTGCCTACTTTTTGTACAACCCATTGTTTAAGCCAATAGCTACACTCATGCCAGTTACCATGTTGAAGATGTATCTATATGAAGCGTTAATTATTCAATAAAATCTTGTCAGCAATTTTCCCTTCGGTTTTACTCGCGTTCATTTTATCTCCTCCGTACAGGTTGAACTCGTAAATCTTCATTTTTAACTCAATTTTAACCTCTTCAGCAATATCTCTAGAACTTTAAATCTTATTAGAATTTGTCAGTCTAATGTCAAAACATTTCCCATTTGTAATTTTATTTTCATTTCAAGAAGAAACAAACCATAAATTAGAAGCAATTGGGCAATTCATCACAAGTTGACACCGAAAAGCCAAAGAAATTTAATGATTGGAGAAAAAATATGAAATAATTATGCTACGAAATAGAATATAGAAAAACAATGGTAGATAAGACAGTCACAATATAAACAACAGTGTCGTCAAACTGTGACAATGTCAACATAAAGTTGAAACGAAAACAACTGTTAAAAATCGAAGGAAAGAAGAAGACAAAGCAATCAAACGCAAAACAGTATGAACACGTTGGACTAATTGAACGTCTTAGCTGATAAGATGTCTTCTCTTGCATTCAAAATCTGGTTTAAACTATAACGAGCATCCAATTCGTAGTAGCCTCGTGTATATTCATACGCCCATATATAGGAATCACCAATTACATCAAATCCACTGAAGGAATTAGACTTAACATATGCATTGTTATATTTGCGACAAAGTTTTTGAACAAAACATCTAGTACGTTTATAATCAATAATTTCACATTTCAAAGTAATTTCCTGATTATATCAAGGAATACACTTTACTTTGTCAAATAATATCAAGACCTCCCACAGACAAGGAAATGATTCCAATGTTCTATCGTTCCTTGGTATATGATTTTGTCGACGGACACAAATCTAAAGACGAGATAGGATGATGAGTCATTAGCATGGATGTATAGTAATTGATAGAAAATCCAACATTTTTCCCCACTTTGAAATTTTCATGTATATTATTAGTCATGATAAATGTGTCCTTTTGCACATTGGAAAAAATCATTCTTTAGGTAAGGAACGTTTGAACTTGCTGATAACAACTCTACACAGAATATTGATCAATCGATGTTTTGTACAAACATTCAAAACGCAAACTCATGCAAACACTAACGAATCTTCAATTCTTGAATCTTGAAACTGACTGCTGCAGACTAATAATACTTTATCAAGTCAGCTCCAAAGTGTTTTTCACCCAAGGCACTGAAATATCAACTCTCTATAGAAATGAAAGACCACAAATTCAATTTAAAGATGGAAGACCATGAGAAATAATTCAACAAAAACATTTCTTCAACAGAAAGAATGTTCATAAAAAATGCAAATTAGCATAATGCATTTTTCAAAATAGCAAGCTGCTTTTCTTTCATTGATTTCTATTCATCATATTAAACAAGAACAGAACGATTCCTTATGACAAGCATATGATCTGGTTTGCTTTTTTCAAATTTCTAGCTTGACTTTTTTTTTTTAATCAATGCTGTGAACGTTTGCACGAAAATAAAAGATGTCGCATGTGATGAAGCAAACGTGCATATTCTTGTCACCATTAATTCTCATGTGTGCAGGAAATAAGGACTGTTTATGGACACAATTTTAACAGCCGTGGGCATGCACATATCACGTGACAAGTGAGTCATTATGTTTCATAAATATTTCAATGAAAACCAAATCCAATAGAACCAGGCATATTTGGAAAAAAACATTGGAAAAAGGGTTCTATATTGTGGTTTATTTTGGACTAACATTTGATTTCCTCCACCTGCATCTCCCACACACCAACTAAACATGAATGTCAAGAAAACTTCGACTATTCATTGAGTTCTTCAACATGTTATATGAGAATACAATTTTTAAGCATTTTCTATGAGTACTAAATTCACCATGACCCTCAGTTTGTGATTCTGTAAAAGATGTACAAAAATCAATAAGGCCCTTCTCTTGTGATTTTTCAAAAGGAGAATAATCTAATTGCAATATAAACTTAATGGAAAAAAATGTATGTTACATTCTCTGATTTTGGTGATTTTATCTTCAAAACTTCATAAAATTAGTGTATTTCCTGTGCCCATCTTAAGTAAGAACAAGCAAGCTACATACTGAACATCACCCATGTACAGATAGACGAATAAACAGACATCCGATTCAAAACACTCGTATACTTTATTGTCGTGTTTTCCCTATCTATCAAAGCCATTTATTACCGACATTGAATGCTAAATCAACAGAATGTCTACACATCTCTGCCACTTATGACTATGAGTGATATTTTTACAGCATGATAATACAGTAAACCAGCAGATCATGATGAAAAAATCGCTTTACTTGCAATATGATTGCACATCATTGTCATAAATTTCAAATAAAGATTTGCATTTACACCATTACAATTTGGTACATGTAATGTAATGTACAGCATGGAAATGTTGTGTTACTTCTTTGAGTGTTACAGATTACAGAGGGTGGTGATAAGTTCATCAGTGTCAAAGCTTACAGACAGCGAGTCATTTATTTTTTATCAGTGTAACATATTACACAAAGTGGCAATAAGTAGATTATATCAAAGGTTACATACAATGAGTCATATATTTACAGCATGATAGTATTGTGATACTTCTATCAGTGTCACAGATTACACAGAGTGACAATAAGTTTATCAGTATCAAAGCTTACAGACAGTGAGTCATTTACTTACAGCATGGTAGTGTTGTGACAGAAGATCTATCAACGTAGACTGAGGTAAGATGTTCATTAACTGCATGTCCTGGATATTGTTGGCTGCCAAAGAGTAAATCAGTTCATACAATGGCATCATCAGAGTATGGTCTGCTATGCACACAAATAAACTTATTATTAGAATTGAGACATTCTTAAACATATATGCTTTAAAGAAAATTTTGACTTTTTTTTTTCTGAAATCACAATTTTATGTCCCTGAAAGAAATTAAACAAAATTGTGCATAACAAATTTTGATTTTTCTTTATTTGTATGAGCTGGCCAAACCTAAACCTAAGTCTAGATGTCTATCAATTTCATACGAAATTGACATTCCAAAATGTCAATGATTCCAAGGGCCTGTCAGACTATAACATGTGAAATATACACCCTGTCTGGCACGTTCTAACCTAAACAACTGCCAATGCAATCTACACAAATTGAAAACGACATCTCAATAAAAAAAACACCAAAATTGATATGGAACTGGCAATAAATGTGAAAAGCATTCCTGTTTCATCACATTGAGAAAATGATTGATAATATACATTTTTTCTTGAGTAATGCTTTTTAAAAATCAATCATTCGTCTAGTTCTATATTATAAAGTCAATAAAGAAAACACTTTCAAAATTGCCGAAATAGCAAAAACTATATTGCTTCAATTCGAGTTTTTCTTCCCTTTTTTTCAGATGTGAAGGTATACATATCCTATATACTTTTTTAATCACATAAATATACTCCCGTCCCTAATTTTGCACAGGCACACAAGCTCTTTATTTGTAAGTGACCAAGAGTTTTCTGTGACCTTTTACCTTTATAACCAATGAACATCAAAATCTAACAAAGTGTAGACCTTGGTATTGTAATGCTATGGTATGAATCTGAACAAATCTGTTCAGGACTTTGCGATATCTGGCACACAAAAATGCAAGACTTTCATATCTGAAGTGGTCAAAGGTGACCTTTAACTCTGAACAATGACCACCACAAATCTAACAAAGTGTTGACCATGGTTGTATGATGCTATAGTGTGAATTTGAACCACATCTGTCCACATGAGTTTATGAGATTTCTTGTTTACAAGGTGATCACAGACCCATGGACTGATGCAAGGACACACAGATAAAGTACTTTCTATCCTCTTACGTTATTGGAGGATACAACTACAAAAGTGGCTCAACACAAGTGTTTCCATTATAGTATATCATTTATACTTTATTAATCTAGATTTTAATAAATGAGAAATTCAACTATAGATTTCAAAACTTTGAAGCCTGCAAGGCATTTGCTTGTGTAAGGAAACATTACTTCATTTTTAAGTTTAAGTTGCAATTAATGTTGAACATTACCCAAAACTTAAAGCCAATAAGTCATATATATTGTTGCTATCAGAAGTTTTTACAATTTCACTTCAAAGGAAATACAAAAAATCCACATATCTTAGCAAATATCTTTGAAAACAAATTTGGTTAAGAAGCATTCTTAACCAGGGTTATACGGGAATCTTATGGGTTTTTTTTACTACCATTAGAATATTGCAATTTATAAAAAGACAAATGACATGCCAAGATTTTACATAGGTCAATCTCCCTAAGGTATGGAAACATTCTGATAAATGCATAAATGTTTCGGTGTACAAATCTCCCTGGTAAATCAGCCACCAAAATTCAAACTATAGACGCCTCTGAACTTTACATAGCATTTTAGGTATTCTTTTTATTATTTTGTTGTTTTTGTTTTTATCCAATTACACTCTGTATCTAAATGAAATAAAACTAATTAAATCAGACACTCAAAGAATAATTATTGTATTGTAATATAGCAGACTTTGAAGTTTAATTGTAATTCAGTGCCACAGTTTGGTACCACTTTCCCAGCAATGCACAAAATCATGTTAAAAAACCTATTAAAGACATTGCTTGAATGCCAACACTTATTTATATATATATATATATATATATACCTTTCCATGTCTAAATTAGATTCAGTTATTGGAACCCCTATTTTTTAGATTTAAACAATATTTTTGTACATACATATATACATAAAATATAGATGTATAAAAATATTTGAATGTTTAAATCTAAAAAATAGGGGTTCCAAAAACTTAATCCAATTTAGACATGGAAAGGTTCAACCAGTGGCAGCAGCTCCAGTAAGAAAATGGAGAAAAGGTCATGTTTGAGAGCAAATTTTACTTCATAGCAGATTCAAGGAAACCAGAAAAGTTCTCTTTGACAGCAGTTTGTGTGCACTACTTGAAAAAAAGACTGAGAAGATTTTTTTTCAAAAAGACAAGCTCTCTTTGACTTAACAGAAAATTTGCATAGGATCAGAAAGATATTCTATGACAGCAGACAACAAAGGAGGAGTTCTTGACAGCACATTTATGCATCATTTTCTTTGACAGTACATTTTTTAAAACATTGGAATGTTTTTCTTTGACAGCAGATTTTGTACAAGACTGAAAGGTTTTTCTTTCATTGCTGATTTCATGCAAGTCTGTTATGATTCTCTTTGATAGGAGACTTTGTACAAGGCTTGAAGATTTCTCCTTGACAACAGACTTTGTACAAGTCTATAAAGATTAACTTTGACAGCAGACTTTGTAAAAGACTGGAAGATTTCTCCTTGACAACAGACTTTGTACAAGTCTAGAAATATTAACTTTGACAGCAAATTTTGAAGATGACTTGATGATTTCTCCTTGCCAATAGATTTTATACAAGACTAGACATTTGCTCTTTGAAAGCAGATTTTGTACATTCACTGGAAAAATTCTCTTGGAGAGCATATTTTTTGCAAATGACTTGGAGGTTGCTCGTTGATTGCAAATTTTGTACAGGGGTGGAAATCTCTCTTTAAGAGCAGGTTGTGTTCAAGGCTGGAAAGGTCATCTTTTATAACAGATTTTGTAACTTATAATCAACCAAATCTTTTGAAAATGATATTTTTTATCAAAAAGTGACATTGGTGCAGTGGCTGGGAATAAACATCATAGAAAAAAAAAAGCAAAAAAAAAATCAATGCATTGAAACTCAATATCATTACATGCATGCAAAATAAGTTTTTGTTCCCACATTACACCATTGAAAGTTCATATCATACTACTACTACTACTACTATGCTGACGGTCGCAATGCGACAAAGTCTGTTCCTCTGTTCTATCCAACCGCTGATCTCCATATGCTTCTGTCATTACACAACTCTGGCCAGGAATTCAAGTTGATGTTCCTCCGTTTCAAATTTCTTTTGACTGTATCTTTAAACCGTAGTCGGGGTCTGCCTCTCTTCCTACTACCAACTGGAAGCTGTGAGAACAGGATCTGTTTTGGAAGTCGGTCTTGCGGCATCCTCATGATGTGCCCTGTCCATCGAAGGTTCTTTCTGATCAGCATGTCTTCCATGGGTGTTAATCCAGTTCTTTCAAGTATTTCCTTGTTGGTAACTTTGTCTTTCCAGGTTACTTTTATGATGGTTCTAAGGTGCCGCATCATAAAAGCATGAAGCTTCTTCACATGGCTTCTGTATACCGTCCACGACTCGGCTCCATACAAGAGAGTGGATATGACAATGGCTCTGTATATCTTTCCTTTCACCTTCAATGAAGCATGATGGTTGTTCCAGAGTCTCTGATGTAATCTGCCAAAAGATGAACTGGCCTTAGCAATTCTTCTCTGTATTTCGGCATCAATACGCCCATCTTTCGCTGCTGTGCTACCAAGATAGGTGAACTCTGGGACAGAATTTAGTTTGATACCATCGACCAGTATATCCACCTCCTGGGACTTTGAAGAGTCTGGTTGGTATAGCACTTCAGTTTTCTTGATGTTTATCTTTAGTCCAAATTTCTTTGATGCTTCCGAGAAGGCATTTACTATGCGTTGAATTTCCTGTGGTGAGTGGGCAAGTAGGGCACTGTCATCTGCGAAGAGTAGCTCCCTTATCAGTACCTGGATGCTCTTGGTTCTTGCCTTGAAGTGTGTGACCTTAAAGAGGTCTGCATCTTGCCTTGACTGGATGTAGACACCATCTGTCAAGTCTCTGAAAGCTTCATCCAGCATCGCTGATAGGAATATGGAGAAGAGAGTAGGTGCTAGTACACAGCCTTGTTTGACTCCATTTGTAACTTCAAAAGCATCGGATGTTTCCACTCCATCGCTGACTTTGGCCTTCATCCCTGTGTGCAGCGACTCAATCATGGATGTGAACTTATCAGGGCATCCATACTTCCTCAGCAGCTGCCACAGACCTGTTCTTCCAACTGTATCAAAGGCTTTAGTGAAGTCTACAAATACAACGTACAGTGGCTGGTCCTGCTCGATACACTTTTCTTGTAACTGTCGGAGGCTGAAGATCATGTCGATGGTGCTCCTATTGGGCCTGAAACCACACTGTGACTCGGGAACTATTTCTGGAGTGACATGCTTGGAGAGTCTGTTCAGAAGGATCCTAGCGAAGACTTTGCCAGCAATGGACAACAGAGAGATTCCTCGATAGTTTCCGCAATCTGACCTGTCTCCTTTCTTGTAGATGGTTACAATACTTGCATCCTTCCAGGCTTGTGGAACTGTACCTTCATCCCATGCACTGCATATCAGCTGGTGCAGCCTGTCCACTAATTTGGTACCTCCATGTTTCCATACTTCCGCGGGTATTCCATCTTCACCGGGGGCTCTGCCATCTTTCAATCCAGCAATAGCTTTTGTCACCTCGTTCATGGATGGAGTCTCATCAAGGTAGTGTTTGGTGGTCCGCTGCTGTATGTTGTCAAGGGCTTCAGTCTGAATCTCTCCGGGAACATTTAAGAGCTTCTGGAAGTGTTCACTCCATCTAGCCAGAACTTCTTTGTTGTCTGAGATTGTTTCCAGCCCGTCCGCTGACTTCAGTTGTACAGGTCCTTTTTTCTGGGGTCCCCAAACTTCCTTGAGCCCATTGTAGAAAGCCTTCATGTCATTCCTGTCTGCAGCTGTCTGTAGCTCTTGTGCTTTACTGTCCCACCAGGCTGTCTTCAGAGATCTAGTATGTTGTTGGAGTTGCCTGCAGGCATCTTTGTAAGCTGCAACTGTTGACCGTGTGCTCCTGGACTGTAGCACTTTCTGGTTGGCTTGGTCTCTCTTTCTTATAAGTTGCTGTAGCTTTTGGTCACCGGGATCAAACCAGTCCTGGTGTTTTCTGCCGGGCTTGCCTAGAGATTCCTTTGCTGTGTTGTAGACCACTTGTTGTAGAGCTGTCCATTCTTGATCTATGGAATGTCCTTCCTCTATCTCAAATCTGTCTAAAGCATCGTTCATATCTTTTGCTAGAATCTCTCTTTCCTTTATAGATCTCAGCTTTGCGGTGTTGAGCTTGGATGGCTTCTTTGCTCCTTGTTTGATGTGTTTCTGACGTAGATGGAATGTCACTTTTGATCTTGTCATCTGATGATCAGTCCAGCAGTTGGCTCCACGCATTACTCTAGTATTACAGAAGTCTGTCTTATCTCTCTGTCTTGTTATGATGAAGTCAATCAGGTGCCAGTGTTTAGAGCGAGGATGCATCCAAGTAGTCTTTCGTTCATCTTTCTGCTTGAACATGGTATTGGTTACTGTCAATTCAAATTCTGAACACATAGCAAGAAGGAGTTCTCCATTTGAGTTGCATTTACCAATTCCATACTTTCCTAATACCGATGGCCACTTGTTGTAGTCGCTCCCTATTCTAGCATTGAAATCTCCCATCATTATGAGTTTGTCGGTACGGGGAACACGCCGAAGAGTTTCTGCTAGTAGGTTGTAGAATTCCTCTTTCTTGTCATCAGGATTGGTCAAAGTTGGTGCGTACACACTGATGAATGTCGCCGAGTTGTTCTTCGTCAAAGGGAGTCGCATCGACATTATCCTGTCACTGATTGGTAGTGGTGTCTCAATCATCATTGATGCAATGTTTCTCCTCATTGCAAAACCAACTCCGGCTTCTCTTTTCTCTCCATTTGGTCTACCACTCCAGAAGAATGTATAGTCCATGTCATTTAGACTGCCAGACTCTGAGATTCTTGTTTCACATAAGGCTGCAATGTCTATGTCATACTTTGCGAGTTCCATCGCCACGAGTGCGGTGCGTCTCTCTGGTCTGTTTGCTACTTCACGGTCAAGAAGTGTCCTGACATTCCACTAAGGTCAAATTCCTGTATCTTCCTTGTCTACTTTTCACTGTCGATGGAAGTTGTCGAGCAGCGCGGTCCTTGGTAACCCGGCCGATCCGGTATGTGGTTTCTTGCGGTTGTACATTTCATGAAAAACTGCTTGCAAAGGATGTTGAAGTGTCGATAGCTTTTGCAAGTTACTAGCGACACTCTTTCAGGATTTAATAGTATTCCTACACCGGCAAGAACATGTCGAGACAGGCGCAGACTATTAGTCCTTGTAGCGGATGGCCGGTAGATGATGGGTGTTCCATTCAGCAACCGCCCTCATATCATACATGTACCATATTTTTAAGGTTATATGTCGCACCAGCATATCGGCCACAAAGCAAATTTCTATCAATTTTTTTTTTGTTTGGTCCATATATTAGCCACACCAGAATATAAGTCGCATCATTCTTATGGTGTGGTAACCATGATGTTGACAGTTTCTTGATATAACAGACAACTGAAGGCAATTCGACAGGGAGAGTAAGTTTGAGAGTATGGAGGTGGATGATGTCACTAGATATTTATATCAAATAGGATTGAAACAATTTAAGGAAAAGAACATTTTGTTCATGCACTCACATGCAATAAATACTTCTCTACTTTTATCTTTTTATGTCTGATCTTAGATGAATCATTTAATGCCTTTCTAATATAAAAGAACATTTAAATTGACCTTAAACTCTTCCATTCCCTTCTCATACTTGATCCTTGAATAAAGCTCACTAAAACCTGTTCAGGGATAGAGATGTTGGATTGATGACTTGGTTTGTTTATTGTATTTATTGCCTCATTAACAGCCAGGGTCATTTTGAGACAGGGTATTACCATAAGTAGAGAGAGTCACTCTAAGCATGTCGCATTTTCACCAGATGTTACATAGATGTAATGATGTAACTGAGTGAGCTATCGCAGCCACTTCTGATGATATTGGATTAGGAAGCAAAGGCACAAGACTGAGATGTAAATGGGTTACTGAAACTTTATCCAAACCAGTCAATTCAGCTAAATTATCTACAAACTTTGTCTATGTGTTTTCAAAGACAAAAAAAATCTGTTGTAAAGATAATGATGAAATTAGTATTTTGCAGCTTTTCTGTTTTTAAATTTTGAATATAATTCTGATAAAAACAGAAAAATATTTGGATTTTTGGATGTGTACATTTCTTATACAAACCCTAATGTGATTGATTTCTTCAGAACAGATACAACATATGCACTCAATAAGATTTGAACACATTCTAGACTAGGCTTAATGGCCATTAAGAAAATCTAGTTTCAGCATTAGAAGGAGACACAAAACTATCTACAAACATGGATGTACCAGGAGAATTAGATTTGTAACGAGTCTCCCGTATCCTGGACAATGTGATGCAATGCACCCTAACACTGGGTTCACAGTAACCTGATGACAACAGCACTAGTTCTCATAACAGTACACATGGACACCAACCAAGAGATATTTAAACGGAGCTATTGGTGTGGTTTGTACATAGTGTTAAATATAGTCTCTGTCACTCAGCTGATGGAGCATACTTGTTTGGTTTAGTTGGTAGCACAATGGATTATCACACAGGAGACTTGGGTTTGATTCCTGTCATGACAATTGACAAGAATTACCTTTTCACTGTTCTATTAGAGATATAACAGGCACATATACATGCAAACTACTTTTATTGCTCAACAGACGGTGGATAGAAGTTTAAATTATACTCTAGATGATATTGTTGTATCTGTGTTATAATTAAATCACCAAGATAAAATTTGTTTATCTTTGTTTGAAAAAGGAATTCCTTTAGATATCATTGGTTTATTTGTGGCTGGTAAATAACTCACCTAGATATCATTGGTTTGTCTGTGTGTGATAAATAAAACAACCAGATATTATTGGTTTATATGTGACGGGTAAATAACTCACCTAGTTACATTTGTTTATCTGTGTTTGATAAATAAAACCTCTAGATATTACTGGTTTATGTGTTACTGATAAATAACTCACCTAAGTTTTATTTGTTTGTCAGTGTGATAAATAAAACACCTAGAAATTGTTTGTTTATGTGTCTAATAAATAACTAGAATTATTCTGCTTTGTATCTTTGTATACCCACCAATCAAGAAATAATATTTTCAAAGCTACTTTGGACACTTAAATCACAATAAATAGAGCAGTAAGGGTTGGAGAGCTTGAGACAAAAAAAAATTTGGTCTACTTACTGTCTACAATTCCATGCAGCCTGACCGCCGCAAACAACGGAGCATAAATCTGACCATCATCATTGTCCAAGAAACTGGCAGATTTAGGTAAACTGTCAATAAGAAATTGAAAATGTGGGATCAGATCTGACAGAAGTTATTATTATATCTTCAAGAGTCAGCGAGGGTTAATTCAGATGTCTAGTTTGTATGAAGAAAAGAGTACATGTGAACAGACCCATTCCAGAAATATGATTAAAAACAATATGTACATGGTGCATATACACTTTTGCCTTTTATACAGGAAGAACTGCCAGTATGGATACCAGACAGGGTCATACAGTTGACTACAGGACCAGCAATTTTGTTTGAGTCTAGAATACTGTCAATAAATTTTGAAGTTTGTAGGAAATCAATAACGTTTGCATGAGTGCTTTGGTTAGCAAGAGTAAACAATGATGTTCTGAGACTCTCATAAAATTACATATCTGTTTGCCCTTCAAGATTAGAACAAAAAAAATCAATGATGTAAGAAATCCAACTATCATTGAAATGTGTCTATATATAGGTGCCATTGGCAAATGTACTTGTAAATAAGTATCATTGTTCCTGTATGTTGGTATCATTGACAATTGATATGTATCTGTATATATGTTTCATTGACATGTACAATTGTATACCTGTATGTAGGTATCATGACTTGTTTACCTGTATGTTTGTTTAATTGACATGTATATCTGTAAGTAGGTATCATTGGCATGTGAACCTGTATGTAAATGTCACTGACATGTATACCTGTATGTATGCATCATTGACATGTATACCTGTATATAAGTATCATTGACATGTATACCTGTATATAGATGTCATTGACATGTATACCTGTATGTAGATGTCATTGACATGTATACCTATATATAGGTATCATTGACATGTATACCTGTATGTAGATGTCATTGACATGTATACCTGTATGCATGTATCATTGACATGTATACCTGTATATAGGTATCATTGACATGTATACCTGTATGTAGATGTCATTGACATGTATACCTGTATGCATGTATCATTGACATGTATACCTGTATGTAGATGTCATTGACATGTATACCTGTATGCATGTTTCATTGACATGTATACCTGTATGTAGATGTCATTGACATGTATACCTGTATGCATGTATCATTGACATGTATACCTGTATGTAGATGTCATTGACATGTATACCTGTATGTAGATGTCATTGACATGTATACCTGTATATAGGTATCACTGACATGTATACCTGTATGTAGGTGTCACTGATATATACTAGTATATAGGTTCCATTGACATGTTTACCTGTACATAATAATCATAGACACACACATATTTTTTTTTTAAATATGATATCATACTTGATTAAGTCAGACATTAAGATTAAACAGAGCATGTATGAAGGGAGACAACTGCTGTTATTTTTAATCATTAAAAATGAAAATGAAATAGTAACCCACTACAATGCTAAATTACAATGAGACATTTTATATTTCCTTTATGGTTCACAGTTCCAATTGTAAGAAATTTTAAGAGTTCTCTTTGAAAGACTACAAAATTTACAACTGGTGACTTCATTTTTCAGCAAGGTTTCCTCTGACAATTTTGCACAGAATAGTTGCCAACTGGATCATTTTCAACCTACATTTTGTACTTACACTTAAGAAGTTGATGCTATCTTAGAGAGCACTAAATAATGATGCTGTTATAGTTAATTATAGATGAGTATATATTGCAATATAGATTTTCAGATTGTTTGACTCATCAATGAAATGAAAACTTCAAATCAAACTATCTCAGAAAAGATCTCCATCACAAAGAATTGTGGATTGTGCAGCATATCAATCAAATTTTGTACACAAAAATTAACCTGTCTGCAATATTTGAAACTGACCTGTTGAAGAATGTGAGAACTGTACTATGTGAGGGCATCAACTGGATGTGTTGGTTCAGTTGAAGGAACAGCCAGTAGGCTAAGGTCTTGTATACACTATATTCGTTGTAGACAAACAACCTGCAGAGAAAAGTTGGTCTCTATATAAAAAAACTATATAAAGGTTAAAATGTTTTATAATCTGCGAAAGACATCTTTTCAAATTTTCTAAATGATGGTTATTCCAGTAAAACATCTACTTGACTACAGGTCTCCAACTTACATCATTTCTATCCGTGATTTGATTTCCTGCATAATACTGCTAAGCAACTTATGAAATATATTAAACAAACTATAGAGTCTTGAGCTGCAACAGATGATTTACTGAAATAGCCTGTAGCAACAATATAAAAGTAGGGGATATTACTAAATCTAAATATCAAACATTCTCTAAAACTTTAAACAAATCTGTCAGTTCAATCATTGGCTTTTGAAGAATGATAAAATTGGCTATGATTATACTACACCACATGCTACTTCTAATATTAGTTATTCTACAATAATCCCAGCACAAAACATCCAACTTAGTAAGAAGTGGGCTTATTACTGGGAATGGACTTCTGAAAGAACACCTATTAGGATTTCTACAGAACTGCAATAGATCTGGGTGGGTTTATTAAAGAACAATAAAAGGGTATCTGTTTCTGAAGAACTGAAATAGATTTGGTTGGCTTATACAGGACTATGACAGAAGATATGTTGGTATTTCTACAGAATTGCATTAGATTTGAGTGGGCTTATTACCAGGCATGGGCTTATCACAATATACATACTTTAACAACTCTAACTCTAACTTACCTATTTGATTTAAGGATTTTCTGTAGAACTTCCATTGGTACCTCTCTCAGTTGGATCTGTGTGGATAGCTATATAAAATACACAACAAATCAGGACTGTTAATCAAATATTGAATCAAATTAATCAATTAAATCATGAAATATTTCGATCAACTCACTTGATCAAGTTGTAATAATTTCTCAAGGTTGGAAAGACCCTTTATTTTCCCCTTTTACTTCTTCATATGAAATACAATGTGAAAGTTAACTTGAAAAGCAAAGGACCTGCATGAACAATGACAATAACATTCCAAGCATGATGAACTTTTCATGTTGAATAAATACAAACCTAAGACAAAAACCACACCATGTCTGCAAGACATGCATGCCCTTGCTCTTATGCATATTGTAAGTATTTCTATTAAAAGGTGTCGATCATGTGACCTTTAACTTTTTTAACTTTGACCAAGGACTACCATAATAAGAAAGATGTGGAATATGATTTTACAATACTATGAGGTAGATATGAACTAAATCATCTGTTGAGAGGCTCTGAAGATATGACAATGATTTGAAATAGAGTATGATGTGTATAAGGTAATGTGATACGACAGGACATATATACATTATACATGTACATCCAACGCTATATGCTTTCAACTCTCTTTCCCACATCCCTAAAAGACAGGTAATAAAAGCCAGCACATTCCACGCCACAGAAATATATCTATAGACTATTTGGTAATTTCAACTAATTGTTCAACTGAACAATGACCTGTTGAACAGGCTTCAACACTGATATTTAATTAACAGACAACTGACCTGAGCTATGAGGTTAAGTTCCATCCACCTCTCACAGGCCAACACTACATGTTCCTGTTGATACTGAAAATTCAACAAACACAAGTTATAGTTAGATACTCATTGAGAACTTACCTCAGTCGTCTTTATCTTCAAATCATTATGGGCATGTTTATTTAAATGCAACATTAGAAATGCATATGTTGTACATTGTACTCATGGGCATAAAAGAAAATACTGTAGCAAAATTATCCTGTAAAAAATGGTCTGAACAGATAATTTGTTTGTGATTGTACTGAAAATCAGTGGGTTTATTACCAGGCATGGGCTATTGTTGAATAAATAAGGTATTATTACTTGCTTAGAAATTTCATATTTAAAAATAACTAAAAGTATGTCATATTTCTTGGAAATCTATCACCATGTTTATTCAGCAATAAGCCCTTGTCTGGTAATAAGCTCATCCACTGAATTCACCCATACTTCTAGTGTGAATTAGATTTTACATATTAGCCCATGTGGTTATTGCAGATCAAATACAGTATTTATCTGCTGTAATGTACATTTATACCGTTGATTTCACAATTTTTTAACCTAATGCAAAATACATTTTAAGGTATAATGTCATCTGAATGAGCATACATGAGAGTAATTAAAATACTTCAAATTTCAAAGAGTGAGAATGCCTGCATTCAAAACTAAGCCTCAGAAACTATGTTGAAATATTAATATATCTCTGTCTTTTTCACTTAACTCCAGACAAATGAAAAGTTATGATGGATGGAAAAATCTATACCATAATACCTCTTGTAAAAAATGTTGGACAGTATACTAAAAGGTACATGTGTGTCAGTTAGTAATGCTAATCTATTTGTAACAATAATATGCTGTTTGTCCAGAGTAAACAATTTTTTTTCCATTTAATTTCAATTTCCAGACAAAACAAAACATTATTTGTACAAAAAGTTTCACTAATCAGCACAATCTATGTAAAATTGATCCTACATGATTACAAAACAATATCTATCGTGACATTTTGATGAAATGAAGCATCTAAAAATAAAAATCTGAAGGAACGGTATACCTGGAGGAAATTCTCAAACTCAGTAGCTATATCAAAAATGATTTAATATCCTGCTTGGCTCTTGATTTACACTGACTATTAAAGCTGCTGATGACAGGTAATGCTACACTTCATAGCGTTCAGAGACTTAGGATAGGCTCTATTGTTTTTTTCACTTAATTAAGTTTGCCGTCATTATACCTTTGACGCAGCCTTATGGTATTGACAGACTGTTCTGTAGCTGATAGTCTTCAACATCATCTTAGCACACCTAAAATATAAAAAAAGGAAAATCTCTTGGTAACACTGATGTGCATTTAAGGATATTTAACTCTTTGCAAGAAAATAGAGTGAAAAAAAGGCATTAAACTGTCTACGAAATATGTTTTGATTTGACACAAAATGTATAGCTATTCACAGGTAATCATAATGGTAGAAAGTATAAACTGCTGACAAAGCAGGATTTGCTTGGTAATATATACAAAGGGAGACAACTATTACAATCTAGTTGAAATTCAGCAGAAAATTTTAGTTTATTAAAGTAAACAAAAATCAAGCATGCATTTCATTTGTCATAGTATTTTGTTCATCAGCGATCTTATTGAAATCTCATTTAATGTGATCCACTTACTATCTGCGAGGTCATAAAGTTAATTAAACAAAATACAAAACATTTTCATTACATATTTTCCACAAACAAAAGGTTCAAAGAAGCTGTATTGCTCACATAAAAATTTACGTGTTTTAAACTGAAATATGGTCATAATTCATATAGTCCTTTACAAGGAATAGGTTTTTTTGCAAGTACTTTTTTCTAACTTGGCAGCAGTTTGACCAATGTTCCTTACAAAGATCTGTAGGGTTGGCAAATGCAGCTTCCACAACATTTCAACCCCTCAATGTTCTGTTTATAATGGTAAATATTCAAATACTCATTGATTAAAAATCTTTGAATCCTTCATGAAGAAGCATTTTTTTAAGCAGAAATCTACCCTAAGTTCAAAAAGGAAAAACCTTCTTTACTGTAAGTCAATCCTGGTTCCAGTTAAAATCCATAAAAGACTCCCTCCTGAGATAAGACACCATAGTTAACACTTCAACTACATATATACTCTATATATATATCATATACCTAGCCATAACAGACTTGCACCTGAGGTAGGAAGCTATAGCCAACACCCTAACTACATACTACATATACACAATATACCCATCCATTACAGATTTGCACCTGAGGTAGGAATCTATAGCTAATTCCCTGACTACATACTACATACTCTACAAACACCATATACCCATCCATTTCAGATTTGCACCTGAGGTAGGAAGCTCAACCAACACCTTGACTACATACTCCATAAACACCATGTATCCATCCAATACAGACTTGCACCTGAGATATGAAGCTATAGCTAATACCCTGACTACATACTACATAAACACCATGTACCCATCCAATACAGACTTGCACCTGACTTCATACTCTATATACACAATATACCTATTCACTACATATTTGCACCCAAAGTAGGAAGCTACAGCTAATACCCTGACTTCATATTCTATATACACCATTGCCAAATCATAAGACCTCACCTTAAACCCAACATCTTCTTTATATATCCATGAGAGATTTGCACCCAAGGTACATTGCCACAGCTAAAGCCCTTCTTTTTTATACACAATATTTACCCATCTATGAGAGATTTGCACCCAAGGTAGGATGCGACAGCTAAAACTCGAATACATCTTCTCTATACACAATACTTACCCATGCATGAGAGATTTGCACCCAAGGTAAATGGGACAGCTAAAACCCTGATAACATCTTCTTTATACACAACACATACCCATCCATAAGATTTTCACCCAAAGTAGGATGTGATAGCTAAAACCCTGACTATGTCTTCTTTATACACAATACTTACCCATCCATGAGATTTGTACCCACGGTAGGAAGTGACTGCTAAAACCTGACTACATCTTCTATATACACAATCATTACCCATCCATGAGAGATTTGCACCTAACGTAGGATGTGACAGCTAAAACCCCAACAACATCTTCTTTATACACAATACTCACCCATCCATGAGAGATTTGCACCCAAGGTATGATGCTGCAGCTAAAACCCCGACTATGTCTTCTTTGTTCACCTCTTGCTCATCATGGTACAAATTCCCCAGGGTAACAGCCATGGCTGCAGTCATGAGTAAACAAAGAAATTTGTTTTGTTTGAAAATAAGCCTATGTCCTCTAATAAGCCCATCTTCATACCTATAACTGTTCAGTAGAATAACCAACAAATCCTATTTAATTTTTTGCCTTGTAATAATCTCATCCCTTACTTTTGAATTTTCACTTTCAACAATTCATTTATCATGTTATGCAGAACTGTTCCATCACCTGCCTTCTCTGTGTTCTGATGTATATTTCTAACTGAAACAAAACACAACATTGCTGCTGATGAATTGCTGCATTACCATTAAAATACTTTTGGATTTCTTTTCAATTTGTATTTCTGGTTGCTACAATCAACAGACAACAGCAAGTGATATGTTTACCTCTCTGAAACCTCTACTCCTACCCCACCCACTACTCATTAATAACCCTACCCTTACCCCATCCACCACTCATTGATAAACCTACCCTTACTCCACCCACCACTCATTGATAACCCTACCCTTACCCCACCCACCACCCATTAATAAACCTACCCTTACCCCACCCACCACCCATTAATAACCCTACCCTTACCCCACCCACCACCCATTAATAAACCTACCCTTACCCTACCCCCCACCCATTAATAAACCTACCTCTACCCCACCCACCACCCATTAATAACCCTACCTCTACCCCACCCACCACCCATTAATACAAAGATGATTTGTACATTGTAAACCAATAACACCAAATACTGAACACAATATTTTTATTCTTGATAAACGAATGTCTAGTATTTCCTTTTTTTTTTTGTACATAAATATAATAACACCCTTGAAAAGTCAGTTCTACTCAATAAACATCAGATGTTTTAGGCAGGGTTTTCCATAAGAGCCGGTCGCCGGCCAATTTGACTGGCTACTTTGATCATTTGGCCACCTACACCAATCCAGTTCCGTAATAATGTTCCGTACACGACTACATGTACACGGCAGGCCAGCCTCCTACTTTCACTACACAGCCTACTACTAACAAAATTATGGAAAACCCTGTTTAGGTCAACATGTTTTTACCTCGTTTGGTGACAAGAGGGTCTCTGATGTCAAGTTTGATAACAGTGACATTATTAAATCTCTTCTGTGAGATATGGGCTGGATGATCTAATCCTTTAGCTTCTTCTTCTTCTTGCTTTTCTTCTCCATCAACCATACTCAACCTGTCAGAAGGAGAACAGCAAAAAATATTATTAACTTTAATGAATGAAGCAATCAAAATGAGTATAACAAACATTAACTTCATTCAACTAATCAGAAGAGGTATAACAAACATTAAACTCATTCAACCAATCAGATGGAGTATAACAAATATTACCTTTACTTGACCTATCAGAATGTCTGATACTTACAAAGTTAACATAATCTTTATGCAACTAAGCAAAATGAGAAAAAAAATGTAATAAACATTAAAAACACTCAAAGAATCAGAATGAATTCCTAACATCATTTGAACGCATATAATATCCAAATAAATATAACAAATTTTACAAAGTTCATCTTGATACAAAATTTAAGAATTTTGAGGGGTTTTATCCAGGCAGTGAAAACACATCATGATGTGGAACTTGAGTTATTTTTCACAACATCTGGACAAAAAAGTAAAACCTTTCAGTCATGATACTTGCATTACATTAATTAATGTTGTTTTCCTAAATTATTTATATACAGTACCTGTTACTAATCTCACGGTACTCATTGCTATAGAAGTTACTCTTCTTTATGTAACTGTCAAGGGTTTCGGAGGCTGGGCTGCGATAGTATTTCTGGACACGAGGATCATCAGCCTCACGAAGAAGCTGGGCGAGAACCTCAGACTTCTGCAAGTAGGGGCGGTGTAACTCCCAATCCATCCCAAGGCATTTCAATAGTACATCTGGCAACAACAAAGTAAAGAGTGACTACAAGATCATACTCCTTACAAAATCAACAAATTTACTGGAAAATTTCTGTCTATTTGTCAAAGTTTTGAGTCAGCACATTGAAAGAGAATCTACAAAATACTGAAATATGTTTTATTGATACTTGTATCATTTTTTCCACTCTTTCTTTTTCTTAGTTTTTTTCTTTTTGTTTAAAAAAATGTTAGATAAAACAGATATCCATTCATTTTAAGATTATAAACAGTTGCTGTTTTTAATAATGAGATTCTGATTAAAACTGTTAAAGAAAGAAGAATTTTTTTAATAAAATAACAATGTAAAGTCTTTATCTGTGAATCAGAAAAAAAAGAAACTAAATGCAAAATTTGTTTTTTTATCTATGAAAACAATTTAAAATAAACATGTATTAAATAATTTCAATAATTTTATTATTATTATATTGAAGTCATGAGCAAAATTAGAAAGAAAAATCCATGCAGTTAATGATCTAACTTATTAAACATGTAATTTTTTTTCGTGTTTATATCCACATGTTTTCATAATGAACAGATAAAAAGCTATAAACTTAAGTCATAAAACAAATAAACAGTAAATAAATTATACATCACATTTTGGTAAATATTTGTGATACTAAGCCAAGCAGTGAAAATAGAACTATTTACATTCTAAACCTGATAAAAAGACAAAAGAATTTCTACTAGGGTGTTTAAAATATCATGGACATATATATATGTATGTACAAAATATTAACATGTCAACTAAAATTCCAAAATACAATCACTAGTGTTTTCAATGTTGTGGCCATCTTCAAGCAATTGCATTGATGCCATAGGTATGTTACATAGTAATTTACAATGTACATTATGACATAATGTTACTGTCAAATATAAGGAAAGTTAATAATGTTGGTTACTGTGTAACGTACCTATGGCATTGTAATTTGGAATCTTAGTTGACATGTTTTTATATTTATATGTAGGATATGCAAAGCATTTCTTATATTTGAGTGTTATATATAAGCTAACAAAGTTGTCATTCTTACCCAGGGATGCCCCACATTAAGTTTTTGACAATTTAGTAGCTGAGGCTATATGGGTTCTATCATTGGTTTTCACTGTTAACATGTATATTGCATTATAAAACATTACTGATCACGTGGTCAGTGAGAGGTGTTAAGTCCCTAAGGACTTTGACAACTCTCCATAATCTTGCACATGCTTAAACTCCCTATCAAATTATTTATGTATATTGGTTGAAATTTCACATTAATGATATCATAATTACTTTCACATCCAATCAGTATTGTATGCAGTGAATCAGCTCACATTAATATATACTTATAACACTGATTATACACAATACATACTTCATGCTGACATGCATTTCAATAAATAATGATCCATGTTCATTAGGTTGATAAATTGACAACTTCAGGCAACAACTTCATTTAAATATTGCAAGGACACATTTAGTGTATTATCATGCTTAACAAAAATTGATAATCTAAATATCTTGTTCTTTACCATGATTGAGAGCTGAAAGCAAGTGAAAGAAGAAGCTATTTAGTATATAAAATGCATGTCAAGCTTTCTGCATTTTTTCAAAACAAAAATATGAAAAGCGAGATGAAATGACACTACAACAATGTCTTATTATCAAACTAATGCTGGATAACATGATTTTTAACTACAAATTCAAAATTAAAAGCCTTGTTTGTTTACAGTACTTACTCCTAGCTCTATTGTGAAAAATAAAAATATTCCATGTAAAGTTTGATATAACAAACGATTTTGATTAAATATCCCTGCATCAATTTAAAATTCTATCTGACTAACAAATATTCTTTAATCATACTGATATTTCTGTTGTCAGCTGAAGAAGAAGAAGGAGAAAGAAAAGATTTAATTAAGACAAAAATACACAACTTTAAAAATCAGTTTTGACACTATTGAAACTTTACCAAATGACAAGACAATATCTAAATCATATTGAAAAGTAATGGGTTAACATACAGTAAATACATATAAACAAAGTATGCAGTTAACCCTTTACAGTTTGGTATAAATTAGGGTGTGGGAATGAAGAAAAATAAATGATACGAAAAATAAAAGTTGAGAGCATGTTGGTGTCTAACTTATCAATAGAAAAGTGTAAGTATTAGCTTATATGAACTGGCGATGAAATGCAGTTTTTAATAAACATAGATGAGCATTAATTTTAACAGCTCAAAATAAATCCACTGCAAGAGAGAATATGTACTGTGGGATGCATGTATACTGATTTTTTTTTTCAATTCACAACAAATAACAATCTGGCTCTTGATTCAAACATGTTAATTAAAAATGCAACCATAACAATAGAGAAGACCAACCATATCTAGACATTGGACCCAAAAACCCTGTAAATGAAGCAGATGAATTGACTAGTATTGCTTAATATCAACATTCACTATATAAATAAAATATAAAAGAATTCATAAATAAGTCAAGGGGGCCAACATATAATATCATATTCCAGGTCAAGGGGTGGGCTTATTACAGAACCGTAATGTATAATATTTCACAATAGTATTCTGGCAATATATATTTCTGTTATTTTATCTTTCTGTAAAACATTTAAAATTTCATATGTATCAACAATCTTTTCAGGCAATCAATGTTTTTTTCCCTTTCTTTTGGCTAATACAGGACAGCAAACTTTTCAATATGGTATCAAACATATTGACAATATAAAGTAAATTTAAATAGCAGTAAGCAGAATTTTAAAATTGAAAATTAAAACAGATCATTTATAATTATACAGATTTAACACACTCATAGTAAAAGCTTTAATTAACACTAGTACTGATCTGAAAAATCTAACATGTGCATTATTGAACCTTCAAGGTAAACAAAAATAATGTATTTTTTCACATTGTGTAGACACTTTGGATTTTATACATAATAAAAAATAGCTATTATCCCATAAATGTACAGAGTTAATTCAAGCAATTTCTTTGACCCATGGTTATAACTTTACACAATTAATCCATCACCCTTACAAAATTTCAAACACCCATTCAACAAAACAAAACATGGACCATACCACTGATGCCCAAGGGGCTGATATAGAAAGACCGTTGATTAGTTCCTGCAAGGGGAGACAGGATGGATTAGCTATCTACAGTCACCTCGCTCCATTAAACAATGAACTCAATCCAACTGCCACAATCATTAAGGAAGACATTTCAAAATCAGTAGAATTCCTTTCAAATCATGGAATGTTCTGTATGCTTATATATATATATCATTTCATTTTTATTTGTAACTTTTTCTATACATGTTACAATATTTTTCTATGATTTCATGATATTCTTTTCTTTGAAACCAAATTTCAAATTTTATCTCAAATCTGTATTAGTTATCTCCCTTGGATGAGAATATTTCCTTGATGATGGCAGTGTTTTTAAAAGAATTGTTTTTCTTAAATTCATATCATCAATAGATAAAAGTTTTGAAAAAAATTACAAAGTCACTAATGTGTTATTGACATGCAGTTAAATGTTTACAAAACTAAGAAATACAATATTTAGTAGAATACTCATCAGAAGGAAGATTATAAAGTGATATATCCCATGCAATTACACTAGGCAATTAAGAAAAAATAAGAAATTAATGTGATTGCTAATAGTCCTCCTTTTTACCTTTATTTTTCTCAAAAATGAATCTTAGTGGTAAATATTTTAATATAAAATGTAAGTAAAAAGTGAAAAAAAATACTAATTCTTACCACTAGCGTAAGCCAACACCAAAGCAAAGAGCAAATACATTTTGTAATTGTTAAATATAGTTAGAAATAATTACAACAATAAATTCTTCAATTTGATGTTATATATATATATATATGAATAATGTTAAAAGTTATGCTTCAAAAGCCAGTCTTTCAAAAGGATCTTTAGTGTTATGGTACACACAGTAAACATATATAAATCTAATCTGAAGCACATTCTTTCTTAGAAAAATTAAAATTCATCACTATTTTTTTCATCAAACCTTTCAAAAGAAAAACAATTTTAAATCAAACATTTTTTTCAGTTGATGCCTTCACAGCAAATTCTTGCAATATAAACCAAAATCAGTTTTAAGGTTTAACAGTTTCTTGTCTTTTTTATCTATGCTCTGGTCAATTGATTCACTTTCAACAAAACCTATCAGAAATTGAATAACTGCCTACAACTCCTGAAAACTAAGATGAATTGAATGAAATATGGTATGTGTTATTGTTTTTTAACCATTAGTACAAACAAAACAGTACTAATACAATTTCTAAGTTTAAAAACTACTAGTTTATGCTAACGATTCTTTTTAAAACATCTCAAAGAACAAAATTTTCAAATTTAAATGTAGCATACAAAGCAAAAATTATTAAATCAATTTGAGACAGAGAGTAAAACAATTATCAAACAATTTTAAACAAAAGGCATTAAAACACAGTTAATTTTCAAATCCAGTTCATCAAATTATGTCAATATCACTGAATGTTACTGGAAATAAGCTCCCTCTCCACTTTTATGTGTCTTCCAAGAAAAGGGAGGGTTACCCACAATTAAGCAGTAGAAAATAATATGTGTATTAATTTATTGATGTTGCATAATATCTGATTATTTATGCATATCTCAAAATTAAAAAAGAAATTCCAATAGATATTCAATACACTGTATCTTTAACCTGTGTTATATGAACCTTGTGTGCTACGGAAACCTGCCTAATCTATATCATTATTTACACCATTGTTGTAAGTCTTGTGTTATCTGATATCCTGTTTATTTGGAATTAATTGCAAACTTTAACTGTTTTATGAAAATGAATAAACAAGTTTTAACAATTTATATCAATTAATCCATGTTCGCTGAGACAGAAGTGTGGAAGGATCTCTTACAAGGGGAGGAAGCTTGACTCTGCATTACGCCCATTTGGCCAGCACTGGTGAATTAATCCATGTCCCACACATAAAAGGAATATATATACAGGTGTATATCATTAACAATGATTACCAGAAACAAAAACAAAAATAGAAAGTACACTTTTATCATTATTATTCTTTTATCAGTCAGCTTCAAGGGATGAGTATGAGGTACTAGGGATGTGAAGTATCTCATTGGATGAAGAACTTGAAGTCCCTGATGGAATTGTTAGTCAGACTGAAGGTTTTAATCATGGTAACTAAAATATGCATAATAGCATATATGCAACAAAAACTATAAGTACCAAAGAAGTTATGAGAGAAGCATATCCTGCCCTCTTTATCCACTACACATAGCTAAAACCACAAAGTCTAACACATAAAGTTACAAAACCAATTTTTTCTCTAAATTAGGACAAGTGAAAAAATAAAAGCAACAAAACAGAACAAAAAGCATTAAAATATGGCATTACTCTACAATATGTATATGCTAATTATATATCAGTAATTATAAGTATTAATTATATACTAATATGGTTTGGCGGACAATCTACAGCGTTCCTGATAGATTCAATACAGAAAACTCACCGTGATCTCGTACTTTCCCGCCTATGATTGTAAAATGTTAATTGTTTCAATACAATTTACCCTCTCTTATCAAAATATGCTAACTTGTAGTTCCTGGAAAAATATTCTGTCAATAATAGTGAGAGTTGTGTCCCTTCTATCACAAACATCCAGAAATGTTTGTCAAAAGATGAAAATTTAAAAGCTCAGACACAAATGAAACTGTATGGTCTACACACATGTACTTCATATTTTGTAATTTATGAATAAAAATAACTTTTTTTTCTTTCGTAAATCCTTTCTTTTTTTTAAATTTTATTTTAAATCATTATTGAACTACATTGCGATTTCTACAAAAAAAATTAAAACAATAATTTACCAGGTCCGACATAGTTCTTGTTTTTCTTTGAATGGTAGAGAAAGATATCTTTTGGTGTAGTCGGCCGTGCACTGGAAGGAATATACTTGTTGACAGGACCAGCAGGTGCCCTACAATATCATTTATATAAATCTATACTCCAATGTCTCTATATCATCTATCCAACAAAAACCAAAGAAGGCCATCACGTTACTTTAGTGTACAGAGGTGGAATTATAATAGAATGATAAAATAGCAGTGAATTGTATTTTGGGTAAAAATTTATTTTAGAAAAAAAATAACTGATTCATTAACAGATATTTACTTTAAATAATTATGATTAGTTTTTAAAGTTACAAGCAAAATGCTTAACAGATAACTGTGCAATATAAGTTCTAATGTAATAAACTTGAGTTTGGCAATCCACTTGAAGGTTGAAGGAGCAGATTGATTCTTTAACCGGAAGGTAAAGAGACAGAGTTTGGAAATTGTCTCCCCTTAACTGTAGATTACAGAGACAGGGTTGAAAGATTGTTTCCCCTTGCCTGTAGGGTATGGAGACAGGGTTGCGAGAGTGTGTCCCCTTACCTGTAGGTTATAGAGACAGGGTTGGGAGATTGTATCCCCTTACCTGTGGGGTATAGAGACAGGGTTGGGAGATTGTATCCCCTTACCTATAGGGTATAGAGACGGGGTTGGGAGATTGTATCCCCTTACCTGTAGGGTATAGAGACGAGGTTGGGAGATTGTATCCCCTTACCTGTAGGGTATAGAGACAGGGTTGGGAGATTGTATCCCCTTACCTGTAGGGTATAGAGACAGGGTTGTGAGAGTGTATCCCCTTACCTGTAGGGTATAGAGACAGGGTTGTGAGAGTGTATCCCTTTACCTGTAGGGTATAGAGACAGGGTTGTGAGAGTATATCCCTTTACCTGTAGGGTATAGAGACAGGGTTGGGAGATTGCATCCCCTTACCTGTAGGGTATAGTGACGGGGTTGGGAGATTGTATCCCCTTACCTGTCGGGTATAGAGACAGGGTTGGGAGATTGTATCTACTTACCTGTAGGTATAGAGACGGGGTTGGGAGATTGTATCCCCTTACCTATAGGGTATAGAGACGGGGTTGGGAGATTGTATCCCCTTACCTGTAGGGTATAGAGACGGGGTTGGGAGATTGTATCCCCTTACCTGTAGGGTATAGAGACAGGGTTGGGAGATTGTATCCCCTTACCTGTAGGGTATAGAGACAGGGTTGGAGATTGTATCCCCTTACCTGTAGGGTATAGAGACAGGGTTGTGAGAGTGTATCCCCTTACCTGTAGGGTATAGAGACAGGGTTGTGAGAGTGTATCCCTTTACCTGTAGGGTATAGAGACAGGGTTGTGAGAGTATATCCCTTTACCTGTAGGGTATAGAGACAGGGTTGGGAGATTGTATCCCCTTACCTGTAGGGTATAGAGGCAGGGTTGGGAGATTGTATTCCCTTACCTGTAGGGTATAGAGACAGGGTTGGGAGATTGTATCCCCTTACCTGTAGGGTATAGTGACGGGGTTGGGAGATTGTATCCCCTTACCTGTCGGGTATAGAGACAGGGTTGGGAGATTGTATCTACTTACCTGTAGGGTATAGAGACGGGGTTGGGAGATTGTGTCCCCTTACCTATAGGGTATAGAGACGGGGTTGGGAGATTGTATCCCCTTACCTGTAGGGTATAGAGACGGGGTTGGGAGATTGTATCCCCTTACCTGTAGGGTATAGAGACGGGGTTGGGAGATTGTATCCCCTTACCTGTAGGGTATAGAGACGGGGTTGGGAGATTGTATTCCCTTACCTGTAGGGTATAGAGACGGGGTTGTGAGAGTGTATCCCCTTACCTGTAGGGTATAGAGACAGGGTTGTGAGAGTGTATCCCTTTACCTGTAGGGTATAGAGACAGGGTTGTGAGAGTATATCCCTTTACCTGTAGGGTATAGAGACAGGGTTGGGAGATTGTATCCCCTTACCTGTAGGGTATAGAGGCGGGGTTGGGAGATTGTATCCCCTTACCTGTCGGGTATAGAGACAGGGTTGTGAGAGTATATCCCTTTACCTGTAGGGTATAGAGACAGGGTTGGGAGATTGTATCCCCTTACGTGTAGGGTATAGAGACAGGGTTGGGAAATTGTATCCCCTTACCTGTAGGGTATAGAGATGGGGTTGGGAGATTGTATCCCCTTTCCTGTAGGGTATAGAGACAGGGTAGGGAGAATATCTCTTTACATGGAGAGTACAAAGTCAGGATTCTAACATATATTAATAATTTTTATGGCCTGGATAAAGGAAACTATAATACCAAGACAAACCTGCATGGTCACACAGGTGACCATATGGCCCATAGTTCAAGGAATCCAACCCAGGACATCTAAGTTGAGGTGACTGTATAATATGATTTTGCCACTAGGTCATCCATTAGGAGATTGTCTCCACTTACCTGGAGGGTGCAGAAGCTGGAACTGGAGGAGGCTTTGGTACCATGAAACTGCCATTTCTCTGCACAGCTTCTGGCTGAGACTCAGCCATTGGCTGTGTGTAGGGTCGGTCCATTATCTGGCGGAACTTATAAGGCATGCTTGTGTCCAGGTTCATGTTGATCTGGGGACTTTCAGCTATAACAAATAGTGACATAATAACTATATGACATTTTCAATTTATTTTGTTTTGTTTTTATCTTATTTTTTTCAACCATTCAAAAAAATGCCCAAATATTGAACATTTATCATTTATCATGAAGTTCATGAATTTCATTTTAACTTGGTCAGCTGATATTTGAAATGTACTGGTAGTTGTTAAATTTTAAATATGCTCCGTAGAAAGCTTATTCACAGCACTTAAATGTAATCTTCACTATGCCTCTTCAAGCTCATAATTCAGAAGGTAGGAACAGGTTTAGAACCTGGAGAAACCAGTGTCAGATTCATACAACAGAACTTAAACTGATTTTCTCTTGATACTCTATTCATATTTTAAGATGTGTAGGGGATCATTACATACAAATACAGACTCAAAGTCAGTGCTGGGCTTATTGCAAGACAACGAAATGGCAGTATGTATGGGTTCATTACCAGGTATGGGCTTATTGCCAGATAAATAACTAAATTATCAGACAAACCTGTGATGATATTGATGAGACTTTGATTGAAGGGCATCGCTACAGATTTTATGGCCTGACGACTCCCTAACAGATCACTTCCCAGTGACTCCGGGAGGCGCCACCTGTTGGTGCTCCCGACAAGTTTCCTCATCCGACACCGTGGAGTAATAGGATGCTGGAAAACACAGAAATATTTAAGAGTCATGTCTATCATTCTAATATCATAACAAAAACATCAACAAAACTTCCATATCAAAAATGACTCAATTTGTTCTTAATGTCCACTTGATGAGCAGATGAGAAACAGTTATGCTTTAACTTCATTAATTTTAAAGGGTGATTTACTTTCATTGACTTTATGGTAAATCTAAATCCCAAATTTCTATATCCATGAAATGATAAACAGATAAAAGCTGATATGGGAGATAGTATTATAGTGAATTTTGTGAGCAAGATTTATCCATGAAATCGAGCGCCTACAAAAATGTATAATTTTGAAAAACCACAAAAATTGAGCCCAACAAAAATATACGACTAACAAGAAATTCAGAAATGGAAGTAGAAATTAACCTGTACTTTGGAAACCCTAACTGAAATTTTGTATCCATCAAATATAGTACCACTATTTCCTCATCAAGTAAATCAATAAATAGAATAAAAGTAATTATCATCCATTTCTTTGATGCTTTTAAAATCTTTAACAGGATACGATGTACTTTTGGCCATAAGACTTTTACATGATACAGTCATCTGTCACAGACATACATACATCTTCCTGATTTATATATATCGGGCAGACATCAGAAGCATGTTGGTGACCTAGTGCCCTGCTACAACACCCACGAAGAATACAGTTGACAAATTGGTTTAACACCATGAATATAGCCAAATGGATGACTTGACAAATGTCAAACAGGATTGCCAGTACTCCTATATATAGGGGACAAATGCTCAATAACCGATGTTCCTAGAACTACTTCATTTATAACAGTTAATTTGGTATATCTGCCAAGGAGTGCTGTTTACTAAAGTTGATTGAATTCAACTCCTACCAATGAGAAAAATAAAGAAGGATCAATCAGTTATTGTGTTAATGATCTGACCAAAAGATGTGTCAAGGATAGGTATTACATGACAAATGAGGGGCAGAGACAGTCAACAGCAACATGGACATTAACTGGGAGAAGGGGTGGAGAGTGGGAAGAGAGACAGGGAGGTGCTAATTAGCATCAGAGAGTCAGTAGAAGGATATGGCAATTAACAGAGATAGAATAAAGTCAGAAACACTAATGTATACACCAACAACAATTGAAGACCAATCCCACAATGTGAAGGTAAAAACCTGCATTTTATACATTGTAAATGTAAGTATAATTTAATATTGAGGGTCTAGAACCTCACTGTTTATAAAGTTAAACCTGCTGCCTATACCTAGTGAAATCAAATCAATTAAATAGAGAATTTGTGAAATTCAAATTTAAAATCTATATTCATTGGTTATTAAATATTGAAGGTTTAGACTCTCACTGTATATATATACTTAGCAAGACATAGCTTGTATTTAAGGCTTAACCTGCTGCCTTTTCCATTCAAATTAAATTGATTTAATGAAATATAAGTGAAATTTTAAATGAAAACATATATTCACTATAATTTAACAATGAGAGTTTAGATCCTCACTGTTTAAATATTTGCAAAACAGAGCTTGTATTTAAGGCTTATCCTGCTGCCTTTTCCATTCAAATTAAATTGATTTAATAAAACATTTTTAAAATTTGAAATGAAAACCTTTCTTTCATTGTAATTTAAAACTGGGGCTAAATATATATTTAGATATAGAAAAAAATTACAAACATGGGTTCAAATGATTAGTGCTTTCATTCTTACTCTTCAGATTTTAATGAACGATACATTGTACATTGATGACAACTTATATAAACCATATCATAATACCAGGTACATAAAATGGATTTAATAAGGGAGGTAAGTCTCATACTTTTAACTTTTTGGGAGGTTTGAATAATTGAATTCTTAAAATACTTTTTTCATTTCAAAAATGTCTGTATTCAAATGACTAAATAGAAAATCATTGTTTGTTGTAACCGTCCTATCATGGTGCATACAATTGATTTTAGAGTCTTAATTAAAAGCCAAGTTCTTCATTGTAAAAAGGAAAACCCCTGTTTATTTCTTACAATACATTTTCATGGCTGTGATTTTACATATATCAAAGTGTAAGTTTTTTTTTCTATGAATGATAAGAATCATCGAGCAAGTACAGTCACAGATATATACACAAAAGAAATAAACTAACCGCCTGACACATATATATTAATTATATTTAGTCCTTATTCTTCAATAATCTTAACATATGATATATCGTAATTTGAAACAAGCTATCATAACATGACACTCAGCCAATTTTTTTTTAAACGTCCATGACAAAGCCAAAGAATAAATCTATTTAAATACAAATGTTTACGCATGATCCTAATCAAAGGATCATGTGAATGATGTACTGACAGGCTTCCGATGGGAACAGTTTATCTGGCCAATATCCATTACACCCTAGTGTGGATCTACACAACTGATCAGGCCTTAAGTCAGCGAAATGTAACAGTGCTAGACACTGGGTGTACAAGTCTACCATGTCAAATATACCTGGTCTATAGATATTTCCTTCTTATGACTAAGGGAAACATTTTACCTCAAAATGACAATTTAGTTAGAAGAATTTTTCACACAACTCAGATAAGCAGATTTGTCCCAACTACATAAGATCGTCAGACTTGTCCTTATACTGTGTGGGATCTCCAGACTTGACCTTATACTGTGTAGGATCTCCAGACTTGTCCTAACAGAACGTAGAATCACTAGATATCTCCTGACACTATATATGATCTCCAGACTTGACCTTATACTGTGTAGGATCTCCAGACTTGTTCTAACAAAAGGTAGGATCATCAGATATCTCCCCACATTATATATGATCTCCAGACTTGCCGTTTCCTAATATAGGATCTTCTGATTTGTCCTAACAGAAGGTACTGTGGGATTACTAGATACCTCCTCACACTATATAGGATCTTTATACTTGTTCTAGCATAATATGGGATCTCCAGACTTGTCCTAACAGTACGTAGAATCACTAGATATCTCCTGACACTATATATGATCTTCAGACTTGCCGTTTCTTAATATAGTATCTCCAGACTTGTGCTAACATAATGTACTGAGAACAAAAGATATTTTGGGATCACTACATATCTCCTAATGCCAGTTAGGATCTTTAAACCTGTCCTAATGTAATATAGGATCTCCAGATTTGTCCTTACAGGAAGTAGGATCATCAGATATCCCCCCACATTATATATGATCTCCAGACTTGCCATTTCCTAATATAGGATCTTCAGACTCATCATAACAGAAGGTACTGTGGGATCACTAGATATCTCCTAACACCATATAGGATATTTATACTTGTTTTAGCATAATATAGGATCTCTAGACTTGTCCTAACAGACGGTAGGATCACTAGATATCTCCTTGCACTAGACTGGATCTTTATACTTGCTCTAGCATGATATAGGATCTCTAGACTTGTCCTAACAGACGGTAGGATCACTAGATATCTCCTTGCACTAGACTGGATCTTCATACTTGTTCTAGCATGATATAGGATCTCTAGACTTGTCCTAACAAACGGTAGGATCACTAGATATCTCCTTGCACTAGACTGGATCTTTATACTTGTCTTAATAGGAGATAAGATTATTAGATGTATCTAAACACTAAATAGGATAACTGAACTTATATACAAGGTAGGATCACTATACTGATCTCAAAACAAGGAATTGTCTTAACATAATGTAGGATTTCCAGACTGAAACTTATATATAGACTTATCCTGTCACAATCTAGGATCACATGGTATGCCCTTACACAAGATTTGTCCTAACAAAAGCTAGGATCTCAAGACTTGTCCTAACTTAGGTAAGATATCCAGAGTTTCTCCAACACAAAATCTGAGAGTCAGACTTGTTATAACATAAGGTATGATCTCCAGACTGGTCATGACTTAGGATGGATCTGCACATGTCCTCTAACGAAACATAGGGCATATAGACTTGTCCTCACTAAGGTAGTATCTCCAAACTTGTCCTAACATACGAAAGCATCACCAAACTTGTTCTTACAAAAGGAAAATCAACAGACTTATCCTAACACAAGCTAGGATCTCAAGACTTGTCCTAACTTAGGATATTCATAGTTGCTCCAACACAAGAGTTGATGGTTAGACATGTTATAAGACAATGTATGATGTTATAGCCAGACTTCCTCTAACACAACATACAATATCTAGACTTGTCCCAACTTACATGTAGGTAGGATCTCCAGACTTGTCCTAACACAAGAGAGGATCACTAAACCTGTTCTTACACAAGGCAGGATCAACCAACTTGTCCTAAAACCAAACTAGGATCTCAGGACATGTCCTGACTTAGGCTTGATCTCCAGTCTAGTCCTAACTTAGGCAAGATCTCCAGACCTGTCCTGATTTAGGTAGGATCTCCAGATTTCCTCTAACACAACATAGAATATCTAGACTTTTCCTGACTTAGGTAGGATCTGCAGACTTGTCCTTACACATGTGTTAGGATTACCAAAGTTGTTCTTACACAAGGTAGGATCAACAGAATTATCCTAACACAAGCTAGGATATCAAGACTTGTCCTAACTTAGGTAGGATCTCCAGACTTCCTCTGACACAGCATAGAATATCTAGACCTGTCCTGACTTAGGTAGGATCTCCAGACATGTCCTTACACAAGATAGGATCTCAAGTCTTGTTCTAACACAAGGTAGGATCAACAGGCCTGTCCTAAAACAAGGTAGGGTCTCCAGAATTGTTATCACAGTGAGTAAGGGATATTCAGATTGGTCCTAACTAACGTACTTATGTACAAGCAAGTTAATGGAGCTTTTTTTTCATGGGTAGGATGGCCAGAATTATCCTAACACAGTGTAGGATAACAAGCATTGTAATGTCTACATGTATGTAAAGGATATATAAAGGTTGGTATTACAGATTCACTATATACACTGAAATCAATTTCTGATCAGTAAATGTAGCATTACAAATTCTGAAACAGATTTATTAAAAGTAATGTTTGA